ATTGTAATAGGGATGTGTTACCGACTGAGAACTTTTAGGTGAAACAAAGGGCAGAATTATCCTTGAAAACACCCACTTGACCATGACAGCAAAAGCCTGTGCCAGAGTTTGTGACTGCTTCTGTATAAATAAAGGGACAGCCTCCTTCATTGTCCATTATGATCATGAAATTGTAGTGGTCCATTTTTCTCTCTACACCTACTCCACGCACCCTTCACGAGTTCCGAACTTGGCTGAGCTGGACTCCGGCAGCGGAGCTACAAGAAGGAAGACAAGCAGCTGACACCCCAGCAGTGAGACATCAACAGAAGCCTGATGGGACTCAATCATCCTAAGGACAGAGAAGGGGCTCTGAGAGGAAGGTGTGGGAGGCAGCCAGGGGTGCAGGCGACCACAGGAGTGATGCTTCTGATGCAGCAACACAGGGATTGGCCCGAGAGAGGCTGGGGCACGGGAGGTGTGCCCAGTAGGCAATTTAGGGAGGAGTTTCCAGCATAGCTCCACTGCGACTGTGACTCATAACCAGGCAGGAAAGGGGGGATCCTACGCTCAGCCAGGGCCCTTTTGGCCAAGCAGGGGCCATGGATCCATGTAACCTCCTTCAGAAGGGTACTGCCAGCCCACGGCAGATGCCAATCCAGGAAACCCACATGTGGCACATGTGCTCAGGGAGCAGGTTCTGTAGTGTTGCTTTGCTGTGGCCACACCCCCTGATCAAGGTGTGCCCACAGTGCAGTTTGTTCAGGGATTGGGGTATAGGTATGACAAAACTAGGGACCAGGGTGATAAGGGTGCTTCCGGTGGTCCATGGGAAAACAAAAGCAAAACACACATATTTTGGTACAACCCATGCACATTTTTCTTACACACATACAGCTCACAGACTTTCTGAAGCCCCTCCATTCAGCCCCAGGCAGGAGACGCCCCTAAAGCAGTTATCACCTCGGCTCTGGTTACTGACAGAGCTGTCTTCAGATGCTTGGATGGGTCCTACACCCTGGGGTTTTGCGGTGGGTGGCACAGTGACCCAGGCTCCTGAGTGTGGCCCAGTCTCGTTGTGGAGAACCCTGAGGTGGCAGTACACTCTCCACCCACTGCTCCCCTCTCACCTGCCGGTCCCAAGCAGCAGCTGCCAGTCTCCCCTATGTCACCAATCACTTCCATGTACGGAGCACCACATTGCTGGCACCGGAGATGCAGGTGAGCCACAAAGAGGTCAAATAAACACATACACCAAGCCAGCCAGGAGCAGGGTGCACATACTGCCCATGGGGAGCAGAACCAAGAGACGGGAGCTGGACTGGCCCTGAGGAGCCAGGGACCATCAGAGGCCTGGGGCTACAGTTCTTTCACCCATGATGAAGAGACACAAATACATCCGTAACAGAAGAGCCATCTTAAGAGCTTACACAAAGGAAGTGAGGCGAGCTGAGCTTGTTTTCTTGGTACAGAAATTTGGGTTTATTGTGGAGCACCAAGATGCAGCAGATATGAAGAGAGGTTAAGGTGAGAAAGTGCTGCACGATCAGGCAGATGCTGACCACAGAGAAACAACAGGGATAGGCATTTGGCATGGCCGTTACCATGTCCCTTGAGATACCCAGCCACATCCCATATTGGAGCACCTGCTTTGAGCCCTCCCTTCTCTACTTCCAAACCAGCTTCCTGCTAATGCACTCCCTTACAGGCAGCAGGTGCCAACTCCAGTACTTGGGTTCCTGATACCCACAGGAGTGACCCAGAAGGAAGTTCTGGCTCCTGGCTTCAGCTTGACGCACCCCTAGTTGTTGCAGTCATTTGGGAAGTAAACCAGCAACTTAAGGTCTGACTTGGGGCCAGCATTGTGGCATATCACCTGAATGCCAGCATCCCATATTGGCACTGCTTCAAGTTTGGCTGTTTCATTTCCAATCCAGCTCCCTGCTAATATACCAGGGAAAGCAGTGAAAGATGGCCCAAGTCCTTGAGCCATATTAAGGGAGATGGATGGATTTCTATGCTCAGCCCTTCAGCCTGGCCCAGGCCTGGAAGTTTCAACCAGTTAGGGAGTGAATCAGCAAATGGAAGATCTCTCCTTCTATAACTCTGCCTTTCAAACAAATAAATCTATAAAAATTTCTTTAAAGGTAAAAATGATGTCAAAGCGAGCGTTGGATGCTTTCATAAAGGGTTGCAAATCTTTGCAAGCTAAAGATGGGCGCCTGCTAGGAATGTACCCTTTCATGACCTACCCTACAAACCGACTCCATGGGGAGGGAGTGGGCACATGGCTTTGACGTTTTTGAGCTTCTTCAGGTGCCCGGCAGGAGGGGCTGCTGGTTCACCAGCTCTCCCACTATTCTCAAGCTCCCTCAAGAATTTGTGTATAAAAGTTCCTGTTTCTATCACTCATGGATTTGGATATGCCTACAAGAATACAGATAATTCTTAGCAGGGAAGTTTGGGGGATGATGGTTTATAGATTGGTCAGGATGGGTCAGCTCAGACCCCAGGAATGAGCGTTGAGCTCCATCAGCACCGATGTCCAGCAACAGGTCTGTTATCAAGGTTCTGCCACAACTAGGGACTAGGAGGCCTACAGAAAGCTGAGGTGAAAATGCACCATTTAGAAAATCACGTCGGCTACGAGCCATGTCATTTCCCGCTCTGCAACAGTGACACGCTCAATTCCAAGATGGTTCAAAGGAGTAAGGTTACCGTTTTTCAAGTTCATTGCCTACAACCGGTCCAGTGACTTCAAACTGATGGTGATTTCCATCTTAGCTGAAAATGTAGAAGATTCTTCCTAGATTGCCACATCCACAAAACTTTCCAGTCAATATACAGTTTTCCCAGAGTCTAGGCTGATGGAAGAGGTTGTCCAGGAATGAAATGACGGAAGCAGAAGCTCTTCACTCAGACTGCACTCTTTAGGCAGCAGACACATATACAGCCCAGAAACATTTGGGGCCTCGCTTCCTGTTCCTGGTACAGCAGCAGGTGGGCAGGTCTAGCTAAGCGCTGTCAGCAGCTCTGCATCCTCCAGGGAAAGGCTACAGGGTCCCGGGTTACAAAGCCAACAGGAGTTCAACAGACACAGGTCCATCAAGTGAGCAACCAATTCATGTTAATGTGGAGGGGATGAGAACTGGGCCCTAGACAAGCTCTCTTCTGAATGAATGCACAGAGCCTGGGGATGGCAGCTTCCCAACAGCTGGAGGTAAGGGAGTCTAACAGTGACTTCCTCCGCTGAAGGGATGCATGGAGGCCTCAGCAATACCAAGGCTGATGAACAGCTACTGAATTCAGGGACCAATCAGGAAGTGAGCTGCCATCTCCTTGATCCCTTGAGTTCCTCCCCGGGCCAAACTACGCAAACACGAGGGGCCTGGCACAATAGCCTAGTGGCTAAATCTTCGCCCTGCATGCCTAGAATCCCATGTGAGCGCCAGTTCGTATCCCAGCTGCTCCACTTCCCATCTAGCTCGCTGCTCGTAGCCTGGGAAAGCAGTCAAGGACGGCCCAAGGCCTTGGGGCCCTACACCCACATAGGAGACCTGGAGGAAGCTCCTGGCTCCTGGTTTGGATCAGCTCAGCACCAGCCACTGAAGCTACTTGGGGAGTGAACCAGCAGATGGAAGATCTTTCTCTCCTTCACTCTGTAAATCTGACTTTCCAATAAAAATAAATAAACCTTAAACATACACATAAGGTTGTTCCAATGAAAAGGCAAGCATGAATTCGTTGCAGGTCAGTGATGACAAAGACAAGACAGAAGCAGCTCAACAAGAGGCTAAGAGTGGGAGGCACGGGGCCCTGCCCTCCGTATCTTGGGACATCACCTGTGCCCCTGGAGTTGGGCTGCGGGCACGTCGGCTCCATCACATCCCTAAACTCTCTTCATTTTGCAGAGGGTTCTCAAGGGCAATAAGGCTATTCTTAGGAACCCTAACCTTTGGGTAAACTACATCCTAAACTGTAACAAGCAATTATTTTTTAAAAGATTATTTATTTTATTGGAAAGTCAGATATACAGAGAGGAGGAGAGACAGAGGGATTTTCCATCCAATGATTCACTCCCCAAGTGACCGCAACAGACAGTGATGCAATGATCTGAAGCCAAGAGCCAGGAACTTCCTCCAGGTCTCCCACATGGGTGCAGGGTCCCAAGGCCTTGGGCCATCCTCGACTGCTTTGCCGGGCCACAAGCAGGGAACTGGATGGGAAGTGGGGCCACTGGATTGGTGCCCATATGGGATCCCAGTGTGTTGAAGACAAGGACTTTAGCCACTAGGCTACCACACCGGGCCCAAGATTTATTGATTTTTATTGCAAAGACGGATATACAGATATACAGACTGTCTCTCCTCTCTGTATATCCGGCTTTCCAATAAAAATAAATAAATCTTTAAAAAAACATAAAACACACTAAACAAAAAAAAAAAAAGAGAGAGAAGGCTTTCACAAGCAAGTTTTTAAGGGGAAAGCAGTTTCTGTGGTAGAGATTTTCTCTAAGGCAGGAGACAGAAAGTGTTTACAGGGATTTTTACTAAAAAAAATAACTTTATAAGGACATCTCTGATTTTCCTTTTCCTTAGAGAGGTTGACAAGATTCTAGTGCGCTAACCCACCCTCTCCCCACTGGCTGGTGAGGGCCACACGATCCCGGTGGCCACGGGCCTCTGCATGGAGCCTTCCCATGGGACAGGGCCTGGACATGTAAGAAACACCCAGCGACAGCTATTCCTTTTTTCTCAAAGAGCAAGAAAAGCTCCCTCCCCGCCTCCCCCGCTACATCCTCCGCACGGCGGCTAAGGCCACCCTGGCTCTACCAGGGCTTCCAAGGGGAACCGCAACTGCCCTTGGCACAGCAGGGCCTGGTTCTGCCAGCACCAAGCCAGCAGGGGCCATCCATTCTGTCCTTACCACTGGCTTGGGCCCTGCAGCAGCCGGCTCTCCTGCCCCTGGGATAGTCCCCCAACCCACATCCACACCTTCTTTTCCACACAAAACAGTCCTGCTGCAGTGTCCATATCTGCATTTATTTCCACAATGGTAACATTTAATATAGTTAGCAACCCTTGTGGAGAAAACAAAAATCTCTCATTGATTTACAAGTTAAATCCCGTAACAGTACATTTAACTATCCAAAGTCTACTGCTGATTGAACGTTTATTGACTCGGTGTTGAAGTAAATGGCTTCAGTTAACCTAGCTCTCAGTTATCAATGGGGTTTTGTTTCTACCAGCTGGTAAGTGCCAGCTGCAGCCCATCCAGCGTCACCATCCTGTGCAGATTTCCTCACAGTAGAGGGACATCCTGTAGTACGGTTCATGTTTGATCTCTCCCTAAAAGACAGAAACCACAGCCCACACTCCTATGCAATGTATTATTTTGGTATTTTTAAATAAATGAGAAGGGTTGGAGGCATAAAAGCAAACCCAGCTTCTTTAGGCCTCAGGGACAAACAGCCTCTGCCTTCACCCACTTGAGACCGCCTGCCCCGGCTCCCCTGGAAAATGTCAGAGACGCTGCCAGGGACGAGGGCTGCAGCAGCCAGGCCTCTGCGTTACAGATGAAGCTGACCATGCGGGGCAGCACGGCAAGTGAGGCGAGCCTAGCGCGGCCTACCTGCACAGCTCATACTCACAGAGGCTGCACGGTGTTGCCCTGGCCACCGGCTCAGGCGCCAAAGCCCACTCCTGATTAATAATCCATACGCAACCCAAACCAAACTATTGAAACACACACTTCAGAAGAAGGAAATAAAGGCATAGAAACCTGCCAAAATAGAGACTTTTTTTCCCCATAAGAAGAGTATGTTGATTAAAATAGTTTATCACTAGTAAAACTTGTATCACTAGATCAGACAATACAAATTCGTTTTTAAAAAAATGACATTCACTGAATTCCTGGTCTGTGCATTCAATGTGAATAATCATCGAAAACACGTGACGATTAAAGGCGTGTCAGGAGCTCTGTCAGGGTTCCTACAGCATAGTTAGGGCTTCAGATGAGACGCGCCCCAGGAAGCACTGTGTGGTCACTGCAGCGGCCACTTCCTGTGTGCGGGCTTAGACGCGGCCCTAGTGAGATGTGTCCATGTCATGTCCTCCTGTCTTTTCCTCACTAAAGGCAGCCCTGCACAGGGACCAAATTCCACACCTAGAAAGTTCAATAAACTGTATTCTGTGCTAATAAATAGTATCTCTGTATTTTTGTTCCTTGCTTTTAAGCTCAGCTTAAATTTTGTCGAGGAAACCATTTCACAAGAGGGTATGTCACAACCTACCATCAACAATATTCCCTGTTTATTAGTATCTGAGATGTCCATGGCACATCAAATATAAATATATATTACATTTACATTTCTTTCTTAGCTTCTCAACTGAGGTGAGTGGACTCCTGGACAGTGCCACTAACAACTGTACTACAGTCCTAGTGTAGCTGGCACTCTGCTCCCACTGGACGCATATCAGGTAGACGGCATCATAAAAGAGGTGCATTGTTCTAAGATAAAAGGACACGTATTCATGAATGGAGGTCCAGGGATTTTCTAGGAGATTGTGTTTTTAAAAATACTTCAAAATACCCAAAAAAGTGGTCCCTTTTTGCAGCAGTATTTTCTACATGGGGTAATAAAAGAAAATATGCAACCCAGAAAGGAAAAGAGCCCAAAGAAAGTAGAACTTGCTTGTTAGCCCATTAATCTGTTTAGTAAAGATCTATTTTAAAATGTCTGAATGCTGTACAGTTCTATACAGAGCCATCCACAGCCTCCAGGCAGCTGGCTCATCTGTTCAGAGACCTGTGGCCAGCTAGCAGTCCACCCGGGGGGGCCTTGGTCTCGCTCACTTGCGGTCATCGATGGTTTTGATGAACTCCACTGCTGCTGTGAACTGCATCCACCAGTAGGACTCCTCCCCAGACAGACAGCTGGCATAGAAGCTACTGATGTACTGGACGGTGGACAACAAACAGGGCGGATTGGCCTGGAGCAGAGCAAAAGGGAGAGGGCCAGTTACAGAGACATACATAGTTTCGCCAAAACCATTTTCAGTGTTCTTCAAACACTTGCTGTGAAAGATACCAGCCCAAAAGGTAATCTTTGGAAGTAATTTCAAACTTTTAGACACTGTCAGTAGCAACAGTATACTGGAAAATGCAATCCAGGAGCTAACTTCCCTGTATTTCCTAAAAATCCCTATCCTGCAACTGCCACTGATTCCAAGGAGCGCTAAACTAACTTCAGTAGTCTGACGTCCCAGGATTCCAGAATGGATGTTAGACAAGGAAATGAATACTGTTGGCAGATTCCGTTACAGCTGGGAAGTGGGCAAAATCAGCTGAGGATGGACAGAGATTACCAAACAACAACATCCCATCTGTTCCCAGAGTTATCAGCGAACTTTGAATTTGTCACCTTTTTCACGTGGCAATAAAGGATGCTGCCTGCTAACAGCTAGGGAAGAAAAGCTAACAGGCCTCTCCTTAAAATCAGCATCAACTGGCTTTGCACCCGGACCAGGAAGATCCCAAGGAGGGAAGCTGCAGTCTGGGGCTGGAGGAGGAGCTGTGCGCAAGCCCAGGGCGTCCACGGGGCACACCAAGAGCTGAGGCTACATGGCTGCCACAAGTCTTAGGAATCCGAGGTGCTGCAGACACCAAGAGCTGGGCGGGGACTGCTGAACCCATGAGTGACTTAGCGCTGGTGTGGCGAGGTGCACCCAAACCACACACTTGCTTCAAGATTTCTGAAATAAATCATTTACAAAAAAACTTAGTATTTTTAAGGTCAAAAAAGAAGAGATGTCATATTTCTTGAGATAATTTACAATTACAGAATAAAAAGGCTAACAGGAGAGGACTGCTGAATTTCGTGCTGTGTGTGACGAGCGCTACAGAGAACTGCATGGGAGGGAAGAAGCAGTGCAGGAGCCTGCCCACATCTACCCATTCAAGTCACACACTGGGCCCCAACCAGGCATCAATTTAAAAACCAAAACATTCGTTCAGGAATATAGTGGCTTCCATCCTTTCTGTGCAAACCCCAACACCTTCCTTCTGGATGACACAGAGCTTGGACCTTGGCGAAAGCCCAGGTGCCCCACCTCCTGCCAAGCTGCATGCCACCCTGCTTGGCACGCACACGGGTCCTCACAGGCGCCAGGCGGGGCTCACCTTGATGAGCACGAACACCAGCACAGGTACAAAGTCGTCAGCTCCGGGCACAGAGTCCTCGTTGGCCAGGCTCAGCAGGTTCATGATGGTGGAGCACATGCGCAGGATACACTGCACCTTGTCGCGAGGCGTCTTGTACGCACTGATGGTCCGGATCTCGGACTGCGCCGACGGCCACGGCGCCTCCCGCAGGTAGACCTACACCAAGACAACAGATCCCGCATCCAGCAGCTGAGTCCGAGGGCGGGGAGGGGCTTTCCCTCATCAGTTCCTTCTGCTCCATCAAAGATGGAAGCTTTTTGACTTTCACGCTTAAAAATTTTACATTTTAAAATACAGCAACTCATGTATCCAATAATATCCAGTAACACAGAATCTAGAATTCACAAAATTTCAATTATCTTCCTTAATAGCTAAAATAAATCTATATTTTGCAGCTGATTCTAAAGGCACATACACTTAAAAAAAAAAAAAAAAAAAGCTACTGAAAAATGTAACCGAAAGTGTAGGGGCAGGCGCCCAGTTCAGCAGTTCAGATGTTTCTGTCCATACCCAAGTCCCTGGCCTGATCGATCCCCAGCTCTCGCTCCCGGCTCAGGCTCCCGGCTCCAGCTTCCTGCTCACGCAGACCCTGGGTTCTCAGAAGCTGGTTTCAGCCACAGTAGACATGGCAGATGTATTGTGTAGTGAACCAGGGGATAGAGGCTCACTTCCTTGCCTTAGCCATCTCTTGCCTCTCAAATACATCCATTTTTTTTTTTGGTATGCATCCATGTAGTTATTTTATTTGAAAGGTACAGACACACAAAAGTAGGAAACAAACAGAGAAGACAGAGATTTCCTATTTGTTGGTTCAAAGCCTGTATCAGCCAGTGATGGGCAAGGCGGATAAAGCTGGACGCCAGGAACTGAAGTCAGGCCGTGGACCTTGATCAGCCCGCTGCCTGGCCAGCTACGCCGCAGGCTGCAGAGCTGGGACGCAAACACAGGGCACTCTGTGCTGGACGGAGGTGCTCCAGGCAGCGCTGTCATAGCTGCACCAAACGAGGGCTCCAAAAGACTTCTAAAAAATCATATATAACACTGTTGCAGCAATTCTAAAACCAGACAACTAAGAATCTTATATAAATTAATGTTTATTAGTAGAGATTTTAACTAAAACAAAAAACAAATAAATAGTTAAAATTCCTGAAAATTTTCTGCTTTGTTATTTTGTAACAGATGACAGAGTTAACAGGGACTCTGGGGTCACACTGAACCCCAACCCTGGGACAGTAGTTCTAACACTGTGCAGCGTGCCAGCCCTTCCCCTAGCTCTGCTGGTGACTGTGGCCAGGACTGCAGGACAGGGGACCACACGCCCCAGCTGAGTCCCAGTGGGCCTCGGTGAAAGGTTCTGCACTGCAGGCTTTCTGGTCCCCCGAAGCAAAGCACCTTGAAGAACCTGAGGATTATAGCATCACATCCCAGCTCCCTGAAGAAGCAGGAACTTGGAGATGCTCTGGCACACAGCCGTCTGCTCCTGTCACACGACCCCCAGAGCCTGCCTTACCTCTGGGATCTGAAGAGCTCGGTGATTGGCAGTCACGACTTTAGACAACCTCTGGATATGCTCGTGAAGGACCCTGAAAACACCCCCAAAACACATGTAAACACACTTCAGAAAACAAAGTCAACAAATACAGGGCACAGCAAGTTGGGCAACTCTCCCAGCCAGGCACTGATTGCGAGTATCTGGGCGACTGGAGATGCTCAGGTGGACTATGTCAGCCAATGGAACTTGGAAGGATTTCCTCAACCTTTAAACAACAAAGCAGCATCTCAAACTATCAAAACCACTTAAGCAGTACCCTTGGAGCAGGATCCACATCAGGGAACCCTGGGATTACATCAGGCGCCCATTCCCCATCCCTGGGTACTAATGCAAATACAGGAAGAAGAAAACGAAAATTGGAAACAAAGGTCTCATCCACATGGGCATGCATCCTTAGCTATGTGAACATCATCAAAAATAAAATGAATTTATTATTTGAAAAAAACACAAAAAATCAATTCCTTTTGTAAACTTCCTCACCAAAAAATATATTCTTATACAGCTTTCTTGACATTTCTTAGCCCTACCTATTGGTGTTTTTGTCTCGTTTTTATTTCCTGACTTAAATTTATACTTTAAAAAAAAAAAAAGATTTCTTTTTTTTTTAATTGGAAATGCAGATTTGCACTGAGAAGGAGAGACACAGAGAGAACTTCTGCCAGCTGATTCACTCCCTGAGCAGCTATAATAGCTGGAGCTGTGCCAATTCAAAGGCTGCAGCCAGGAGCTTGTTCCAGATCTCCAACACGGGTTCAGGGTCCCAAGGCTTTGGGCCGTCCTCGACTGCTTTCCCGGGCCACAGGCAGGGAGCTAGAAGGGAAGTGGAGCAGCTGGGAGATGAACTGATGCCTACATGGGATCCTGGTGCGTGCAAGGTGAGAACTTTAGCCACTAGGCTAGAATGCTAGGCCCTTAAATTTAAATTTAGATATAATCCTAATCAAATCTTTAAATATAGGTAAATAATATTTAATAAAAAGTTAAAAAAATGGCAAATACTTTTTTAAAAGGTGTCTGGCCTAGATTGGGCTGCAGTATCCAAGCAGCACACATGAGATCCAGAGAGGGGGCAGAGCCAGCAGGGGGGAATGTGGAGGGCTCCCCTGCTGGACCGCCACTCCCCCCGGAGAGTGTGAGCTGAGATGGGGGCAGACCAGACCAAGCAGTGCTGCAACACCTGTGGGCCTCATGTGAGCTAGATCTGGGAAAAGACAAGCTAGGCTGACTGTTCCTACTGGTGCATACACAAGCCAGAGTGGGTGAGGGTTGCTTGCGCTTTGCCACAGCATCAGCTGGCAAATGCTGGCACTGGGGGCTAATTCTGTCAAGTTAAACTCCAGAACCACCTGGAGAGTGCATGATGTGGGAGTGGGCCCTGGAGGGAAATAGTGGGCACCTCCCTCTTGGGTTGCCACTCTCACTGGAGAGCATGAAAACCAAGACTGGGGCAGCGGTGGCTGGACAGAACAGCACCCACCAACATGTGTGTGGGCTGGATAGTGGGGCTGGCTGGGTTGAACTAGGCTTCAATGCCCATTGACATGAATGAGAGCTGAATGGGATGTGTGGGACAGACTGGATCAGTCTGTTGTACATACTGGCAAGCACGGGAACCAGGGCACGGGGCAGGCCTGGTGAGGGTTACTGCGGGTCTCTCCAATTAGGCTGCAGCTACCACCAGTTTGTGTGAGGGCCGATTGTACGCTGGGCAGAATCAGGCTGGATTGCAATACCCATTGGTTTGAGTAGAAGACAAGGCTGGAAAAAGAACTGACCCAGCAATTGCAACCACAAGCATGTGCAAAAACCGACTGGGGCGTCAGACTGTGCTGGACCCTGATTTGGCAAATTCACACAAGAATCAGGTCTGGGATTCCCTCAGATGAAGTTTCTTTGGGGATCCCTCCAACTGAACTGCTGATCTCAAAACTCCAACCATGAAGAGAGGAGCAGGTTCCATGATCTGACCACGGAGTGCATGTGTCAAAGCTGAGCCTCCTCAGTGGCTCAGACAGAGCATTGGATAGCATATCCAGGTGCACATGGAGGATATGGCAGTACGCTGGAGCCTGCAGAGGACATCCCGTGTCACAACAGAGGACAGAAGAAATCGATCATCTACCCCAGCCATGTGTTGACAGTGAAAATCTGGGCAAACAGAGACTCTAAGGTGGACAATGTCAGCCAATGGATTCTGGAGAGATTTCATCATGCTTAGAATGGCAAGACTGGTAGCAATTCAAAACTGCTGAACTATCAAAACCACTTGAGCAGTGCCCTCCGAGCATGCCCCGAACTGGGGAGCTGGGATGGGTGGAAGGCTGGGTATAGCTTCTCCCTTTATCTCTCCCTCCTTACCCCAGATACAGAAATAACAATAATGATGATGATGATGTGGAGACAATGGTCATACCCACTTTCCTGTAGCCCTTGACCCTTTGTGCCCTAATCAACCATGTAACGATTATCAAAATAAAATAATTAGAGAAAAAAAAACCAGGTGTCTAGCCTTAGCCCACTGACAAGTGCAGATATCAGGCTGGAGTGCAGGTCATCCTGGGCTAGGCTAGTATACCTGCTAACTCGCAAGAGCCATGGATGGGAGCAGACTGAGCAGGGCCAAGTTCTAGCACCAGCCGAGAGCTGGGACTAGGGTCTGGCTGGGTCACGCCAGGCTGTAGCATCCAAAACAAAGGCCAAGATAGGTGAGAGACTATGCTAAGTTGGGTCAGAGCAACAATTAACACATGCAACATCTATAGCTGGGAACAGGCCTCATTGGGGAGCAAAGGGGACGATCTGGCTGGGTTGTGGTTCCCACTGGTGTGTGTGAGGAACAGAGTGGGGGCTGCGATCTGGTCTGGACATGGCCGCAGTGTTCCTTGGCATGGGTGTGGACTGGGTCTGGGGTGTGCAAAGCTGGGCTAGATTCCAGCACCCAATGGAGTTCGTGAGAACCAGGATGGGTGTAGGATGGTCTGGGCTAGGTCTCTGTCCCTGCTGAGTCGTGCATGAGCTGTGTCTAGGGTGTGGATCAGGCTAGGCTGGGCTGTAGCACCCAACAATAAGAACTGGAAAGGTGAAGGCTGGTCAGGAAAGGCCACTATTCTTGCTAGGACAGAAGGTGGACTAAGCTAGGCTGGCCCATGGACCCACTTGTTTAAGCAAGATCTGGCATTGGGAGAGGTTCTAATGTAGGAGCTTGGCAACTCTGTTGGGACACAGTCCCTGCAGGTGAGCGCAAGAACCAAGACAGGGAGCAGCCCAGACCAGGCCAAGCAATGATACCCACTGGCACACATTTGGGTCAGGTCTCGGGTGAGCCAGGCTAGTCCAGTTCGTATCATCTGCTGGCAAATCCGAGACTGAGAATGGTGCGTGGGTCAGGCCAGGTAGGGTGGCAATACCAGCCAGTTTATATTAGGGTCGGGACTGGGAGCTGTCTGGGCTGGGCTGGGCTAGGCTGGGTTAGGCTGTAGCCCAACTATCATGAGCTGTAACTGGGAATAGGCCAGGCTGGGATAGGCTACAGAACCCAGTGCAAATGCCGAGGCGAGGCAAGCCATGCCAGAATGGGCCACAGTGCTCAATCAGCACATGTGAGACTCGGGGGATAGGGAGCAAGCACAGTAGGGGGTTGCTGCCTGGGGCTCCCTTGCTAGACCACTACGCCCACTGGTGAGCGTGAGCGCTGCGTGTGGCAGCAAACCACGCTGGGCAGGGGTACAACATTTGCAGGACTACATGTGAACTGGATTGGGGGCAAGCCAGACTGGGTTGACCATTCCTACTGGTGCATGCATAAGCCAGAGTGGGTGTGGGTGGGGGCTTTGCTGCAGGATCAGTTCGTAGATGCTGGCACTGGGGGCTAATCTGTTAAGTTAAACTCCAGAACCACCTAGAGAGTGCAAGCTCTGGGAGTGTGAGTACATCCATTAGGTAAACAGTGTACCTCCCTCTTGGATGCTACTCCCATTAGTGAACATGGAAATCAGGACTAGGGGCAGGCATGATTGGACTGAGAGTGGCAGCCAGCACCAGTATGGATTAGATAGTGGGGCTGGTTGGGTTGAATTAGGCTTCAATGCTCACTGACATGCAAGAGAGCTGAATGGGATGTGTGGGACAGACTGGACCACACTGCTGTACATATTGCCAAACATGGGAACAAGGGCAGGGGGCAGGCCGGCAGGAGTTACTGTGGGTTATCCCAACTAAGCTGCAGCTTCCACTGGTTGATGTGGCCAAGTGTGTGGTGGGAAGGACTGGGCTGGGTTGCAATACCCATTGGTTTGCAGAGAGGACAAGGCTGGAGACAGAACTGACCCAGTAACTGTAACCACCAGTGTGTGCATAGGCTGATTGGGGCGACAGACTGTGCTGGACCCTATATTGGCAAGCACACACAAGAGTCAGGTCTGGGATCACCTCAGATGAGGTTTCTCCCAACTGGATCGCTCTAAGGTGGACAATGTCAGCAGTGGTTTCTGGAGAGATTTCACTGTGCTTGGAATGGCGAGACTGGTAGCAATTCAGAATGTTGAACTATTAAAACCACTTAAGCGTGCCCGCCGAGCATGCCCCACATTGGGAACTCTGGGAAGGGTGGAAGGCTGGGTATAGCTTCTCCCTTTATCTCCTTTCTTAACCCAAATATAGGAAGGAAAATAGAGAGTGTGAAAATAATGGTCTTAGCCACTTTCCTGTAGCCCTTGACCCTTTGTGTCCTAATCAACCATGTAAAGATCATCAAAAAATTTTTTTAATTAATTTAATTTAGAAGAAGGTATCTGGGTCTGAGAGAATCTATGCTTGTCAGGAAAGGCTTCCCAAGAAAATGAGGTTTGAGCCAAGAGCTGAAGGACAGGGACCAGCACTGTGGCACAGCAGGTAAAGTTACTGCCAGGGATGCTGGCATCGCAAAGGGGCACTATTTTGAGTTTGAGCTGTTCCTCTTTGGATCAGCTTCATGCTAATGTACCTGGGAAAGCAGAGGAAAATGGAGCACATGCTTGGGCTCCTGTACCCATGTGGGAGACCAAGCTGGAGCTCCTGGCTACCAGCTTTCACCTGGCCCAGCCCTGGGTTCTGTGGCCATTTGGAAAGTGAACCTGCAAGTGGAAGATCTAACTCTGCCTTTAGATGAATACATAAAGCTTAAAACAAAACTTTAATGAGATATTTCCTTAAAACAAACAACAGCGCTTTCCAAAAGACCATACCAATTCATTCTGCTTCCAGTGGAACTGCCCACACCCCTGCTAACAGGGTTCCCTCATGCCTCCTGACCTAGCAAGCCAGCTGAATGAAATGTGCCAACTGACGCAGCTCCTAGTATTCGGCGGTATGGGATCACAGGGCTAGTTAACCCAAACACGAGGCTGCCGGAGACACCTCACACAGAGCAAACAAAAGCACTGAACAGAGCTGCACTTACTGGTCACGAAGTATGTCTCCGTCCTGGTTAGGGTAGAAAGCCAGCTTGAAAATCCGATTCATGACGCTCCGTTCAATGGCGAGCTGGGCGTCCTGCAGCTGCTCTTCGCTTGCGTTCTGCCAGATGGCATCCTGGGCCATGGCCCCATACAGGAACTGCAGGAAGTCCCCCACCTGAGCAGTTTTATCATCAGCGGCTGTCAGTTTCTGAAAGTCTCCAATGCAAAACAGTAATTTTTAAAACACACTATCTGAATAATTTTTTTTTTAAATGACAGTCCTCCCTTAATTAAGATTTTGCATTCCATCCTTTGTTACTTGAGATCTGAAAATATTAAATATAAAATTCCGGAAATACATAATGCATGAATCTCAAATAGTACACCACTCTAAGCTCTAAAATCTTGAGCTGTTCTGCTCAGTCCTGCTTAGAGTGTGACCCACCCCTGGGCCTGGCGGTTCCACGCCCTTCAGCACTTTGGTTATCAGGGTGGCACACAGAGCCCAGCACCACACTGCTTCCCATGCCACTGCTGCATGAGGTCCGGTCGTGGAACAGTCACTGGCGAGACGGACACCATGATTTCAAAGCCAAAGTATCTGAGTGAGGTTTATTTTAGAAGACTATGCAGCCAAATTGTTAAAATCAGTAAAAAGTAAGAAATTTAGAAATGCTATTCACACACAGATGTTTGTTTATACATACTTACACATACATACATAAACACATACACACACATAAAATGATTAATCAGGGACAGATTTGTGGTATAGTGGGTTAAACTACCACCTGTGTAACTAGCATCCCATATGGTCACTGACTGGAATTCCAGCTGCTTCCTTACCCATATCCCACGGCATTAGCCCCCTAATCTCTTCAATTTCAAAATAAATTATTGGGGCCAGCATTGTGATACACTGTGTTAAGCTGCTGCCTATGACACCAGCTTCTCACGTAAAGACTCATTTGAGGCGCCCGGCATGATAGCATAGTGGTTAAAGTCCCCGCCTTGCATAAGCCGGGATCCCATATGGACACCAGTTCTAATCTCAGTGGCTCTGCTTCCCATCCAACTCCCTGCTTGTGGACTGGGAAAGCAGGCGAGGATGGCCCAAGGCTTTGAGACTTGCACCCACATGGGAGACTCGGAAGAGCTCCTGGCTCCCGGTTTCGGATCAGCACAGTACTGGCCGTTGCGGTCACTTGGGGAATGAATCATTAGATGGAAGGTCTTCCTCTCTGTCTCTCCTCCATTCTGTATATCCACCTTTCCAATAAAAACAAATAAATCTAAAAAAAACAGACTCATTTGAGTTCTGCTCCATTTCTGATCCAGCTCTCTGCTAATACGCCTGCAAAGGCAGCAGATGACGGCCCAAGTGCCTTGGCCTTAACATCCATGTGAGAGACCCGGAGTTCCAGACTTCTGGCCTCAATCTGGCCCAGCCCCTCCACTGCAACCTTGTGGTGAAATGAGTCAGCAGGTTCAAGACCACTGTCGGTCTGTCCCTCTCTCAGTAACTCTACCTTTCAAACAAAACAAATAGGATCTGACTCATGTCCTGGATGCTCCACTTCCCATCCAGTTCCCTGTTCGTGGCCTGGCAAAGCAGTCGGGGACGGCCCAAAGCCTTGGGACCCTGCACCCGCGTGGGAGACCTGGAAGAAGTTCCTCCCCTGGCTTTGGATCAGCCCAGCCACTGTGGCCACAATAGGAAGTGAACCAGCAGGTGAAAGATTTTTGTCTCTCCTTCTCTCTATAGATCTGACTTATTGTAAAAATAAATAAATAAATAAATAAATAAATAACATGGAATCAATCGTTTAAGATTTACTCATTTTTATTGGAAAGTCAGATCTACAGAGAGAAGAATCAGAGAGAAAGAACTGCTCACTGATTCACTCTCCAAGTTGCCACAACAGGTGGAGATGTGCTGATCTGAAGCCAGGAGCCAGGAACCTCTTCCAAGTCTCCCACGTGGGTGCAGGGTCACAAGGCTTTGGGCCATCCTAAACTGCTTTCCCAGGCCACAAGCAGGGAGCTGGATGGGAAGCAGGACGGTTGGGACATGAACTGGCGCCTATAAGGGTTCTTGGTGCATGCAAGGCGTGGACGTTAGCCATTAGGCTACCACGCTGGTGAAATAAATCTTTTTTTACAAATAAACAAATTAGGTATTTCAACCCAGAAGGAAAATGCAATTAAGTGATTTGACATCAAAGTTGAATGACAAAGAATCCATGAAACAAGTAGACATTTAAAAAGTTACTTTAAAGCATGCAAGTCCTGAACAAACTCTAGAGCATGACACCATTACCCAATAACAGGAGCTTGAAGACACGTTTAATTTGAAAATACGTGATTACCTTGGATGAATTCCCTAATCTTCTTTTCTTTGCTCTCAAGCAGCAACCTCACACAGACAGTGGTAAAGTACCGATTGGCGACCTCTTTATCTCGCAAGACCCTTTGCAGGAGCCTTTCAAGGTGAGCCTGCGTGGTCTGCAGACCTTGCCGACAGCGAGTGAGGTAAGCGATGTATGGTGCTCTTTTCCTAAAAAGAAAAACACTTTGCAGGACATCACCTATACACAGTCCTCACTTTTTAAAATAAGAAAGTATGCCACAGCCTTCATTTTCACATGCTGGTGTCTCAGTCTGCAGACAACTCTTCTGGGGCCTAACTCTGCTGCCAGCTCAAGAAACAGGAGTGGGCATCTAGCTTAGTGCTTAGACCCCTGCATCCTAGCCCACAACTATGAGAGGCAACAGGCAACGGCTCAGGTACCTGGGTCTCTGTCACCCAGCAGGAGATGTGGACCGAGTTCCTGGCTCCCTGTTTTGGTCAGACACAGTGCTGGCCAATGTAAGCATGTGGGAAGTGAACCAGTGGATGAGGGCTGTCCCTCTTCTGCCTCTCAAATAGACACAAGGAAATAAAGAAGGAAAAAGAAGCATTCTGCATGTCTGTGAGGATTACCATCCATTCAGGCTGAACACTTAGCTACTAAACTCGCTAAATGTTACTAAGTCCTCCACACACCTGGCCTGTTTCATGTGGATCACCGCCTCTATGCTGGTAGGACCTCATACTTAGGAGAAAACGGACTGCCAGTGATTAGAATGACAAAAAATGCAAGTTACATTCCACAAGGTCAGTTTCAACATTCACTCACTTGTAGCCTCAATGTGCATTAGTCTCAATGTACATATAGTTCATTAGAGCAAGGGTCTTAGACCAGGTGTCCTTATGCCTCAAACATCCCAGCTACAGTCATCTGTAACACTGCAAGGACTGTCAGCAGCCAAAGGGTGGTATGTGCCAAGACAATTCTTGCCTCTGGTAAGAAAAGCAACCTTTCCTGTCCTCCTTAAAACCAATAGGAAAAGAGGGCTGGCACTGTGGTCTAGTAGGTAAAGCTGCTGCCTTTCCACTTCCAACCCAGCTCCCTGCTGCTGCACCTGAGAAAGCAGAAGACGACCCCAATGCCTGGGCCCTACACCCACATGGAAAACCTACAAGAAGCTCAAGGTTCCTGGCTTTGGCCTGGCCCACTCCTGGATGTTGGGGCTATTTAGGGAGTGAACCAGTAGAGGGAAGATTTTTCTCTCTCACTGTAACTGCCTTTTAATAAATAAATAAATCTCTGGGGGGGCGGGGGAAGGAAAATACTACCCTTCTTATATGCTGGCCTCAAAATATAAACACACCCCTTTATCTGCTTCAGTGAAAAGCCGAAATGAACTAGACTTCTCTGTCAGTTTAAGTTGCTCACTTAGAACCACACTTCTAGACTACCCAAACACGTTGTTTAGAAATCCACACCTAGGTAAACACAGTCACAGTACTTTGTAATAAGCCTAGAATCATTTCATACAGCTTAGAGCCAAGAATGAGGACTGGCTTCTACAAACCAAAGGAGTTATTACCTATAGTCCTCAGCGATGGAGGCCAGCAGCTTCCTGCACGTCCTGTTATCGAAACGGCACACACAGCGCATCGTTTCCTGAAGCTGGGCCATTAAGTTCTTATCTTGTAAATTAATTGCTTCAGCTATTTGAACCTTCAAGAAGCATACGATTTCATTATCTAAAAAAAAAAGAATAAGAATTTTGCTATTCAGAGTTTCCAGAGGCTTATATAAGGTTTATGTCACCTCACCCAGCATTTAAGATGCTTATTTTTCTTTACTATCAAGTGAATAAAGTTATAGTGCCACTCCCAATTAGAAATTTCTTAAATAAATTTCTAATTTACTAATTTACCTTCACTAATCAAAATGCCCTTAAGTGACACTAACACTGTTGAGCTACACGGAATGTCTAGACAGTTTAAGCAGCTGACTACCAGCTATTTCAAAGGTTCAGTTATACGCATGGGAGAACAGTTTTTCATTGTAGCTTGCCTTCAGGGTCTGTGTGGTCTGGCAAACCATTCCTCGAATGGGTCAGCACTGGGAAGGCAACAGAATCCGCAGAGCAAAGAGCAAGCCTCAGTTTCTTTTTTGCATCTCTGAAAAAAATAAGTAAAAAGCCCGTTTATTTTTTTATCCAGGTAGAGTCACATTTACAAATACTGCTACATAGATTCATAGATTGGTCTGCTCCTCAGGACTCAGATGTTTCTTGCAGCTATTTTTAAAAAGACAATTCTGACTTACTGACACCTCATTTGAAAGAGGAAGCTTCCTAACTACCCACAGGGAACGGTGGCAGCAGTGCTCAGACAGGGCACTGCCCCATCACCAGAATCCGTTACACAGCTTGTCCTGTTGGCCTCTCTCAGTACAGCGGTCACTGGGAGACAAGGAAAGCAGGTTATGAAAATCAGCCCGGCACCAAAATCAAGACTGCCCTTTACAGCTCTCTGCCACAAGGCAGGCTCTGTGCCTGCCAAGCCTCCCCGGTGTTTAGTGCTGAGCCCCAAATGGCTGCATTTTCACCTCCAACAGCACAAGTGTGGTCCCACGAAAAGACAACTCCCTATGCCAGGAGACCTCTGCAAGCTTCCCAGATTACAAGGCCCTGTCCCCTCTCTGCTTCACTGTTCAAGCCTAGCTTCCACAAAGAGGGGTCCGCATGCCTGAAGGAGGCCGAGGCTGCCTGCTCCGGCTGTCTTTAGTTCACTGCCTCTGACAAATTCTCAATCTTTCTCTATTGATTCGTGTAAAATGGACAATGCAGGGCCCAGCACGACAGCATAGTGGTTAAAATCCTCACCCTGAACATGCCAGGATCCCATATGTCGTCAGTTCTAATCCCAGCATCCCCGCTTCCCTTCCAGCTCCCTGCTTGTGACCTGGGAAAGCAGTCGAGGACAGCTCAAAGCCTTGGGACCCTACACACACGTGGGAGACCAGAAAGAGCTCCTGGCTCTTAGCTTCGGATTGGCTCAGCTCCAGCCGTTGCGGCCGCTTGGGGAGTGAACCATCGGACAGAGGATCTTCCTCTTTGTTTCTCCTTCCCTCTGTACATTTAACTTTGCAACAGAAATTAAAAAAAAAAAAATTTTTTTTTTTAAAAAGGTACCGGCACAAAAGTATAGTGGTTAAAATCCTTGCCTTGCACGTTCTAGGATCCCATATGGGCGCTGGTTCTAATCCTGGCAGCCCCGCTTCTCATCCAACTCCCTGCCTCTGGCCTGGGAAAGCAGTCAAGGACAGCCCAAAGCCTTAGGACACCGCACCAGTGTGGGAGACCTGGAGGAGCTCCTGGCTTCGGATTGGCTCAGCTCCAGCTGTTGTGGCTGTTTGGGGAGTGAACCATCGGACAGAAGATCTTCCTCTCTGTCTCTCTTCCTTTCTGTATATCTGCCTTTCCAAGAAAAATAAATAAATCTTTTAAAAAGAGAGAGATGGACTGCACCCGAGTCGAAAGAAAGGAAGAAAGAAAGAAAGAAAGAAAGACAAAAAAAGAAATTCTCCACAGGTGTTAGCATGGGTGGCACAACAGGTTAAACCTTAGCCTGTGGCACTGGCATCCCATGTGGGCGCCAGTTCAAAATTCAATACCTCTGCTTACAATCTAGCTCCCTGTTAATGGCCTGGGAAAGCAGTGGGGAAGATGGCCCAAGGCCTTGGGCCCCTGCACTCCCAGGGGAGTTCCTGGCTTCAGAACAGTCCAGCTCTGGCAAACGAAGCCATTTGGGAGTCAAACCATTGGATAGAAGCGTTCTCGCTTGCCTCTCTCACTCTCTCTTGCTCTCTCTCTCTCTTTGCGTGTGTCTCTCCTTATCTCTCTCTTTCAAATAAAATAAATAAATCTTAAAAAAAAAAAAAAAAAAAGAAAACTTCCAGAATAATGAGTTACATGAGAAAAAGAGAGGTAATTTCCTAGGTCCATAAGAAACAGTCAGTACTTTCTAACTAGTATTTCTGGGTCCAGTACGATGGCCTAGTGGCTAAATCTTTGCCTTACAAACTCTGCGATTCTACAGGGGCACTGGCTTGTATCTCAGCTGCTTCACTTCTCATCCTGCTCCCTACTTGTAGCCCAGGAAAGCAGTTGAGGATGGCCCAAAATCTTGTGACCCTGCACCCATGTGAGAGACCCAGAATCTCCTGGCTCCTGGCTTCAGATCGGCTCAGCTCTGGCCATTGTGCTGGGAAGTGAACCAGAGGACAGACGATATTTACAGAGAGAAGAAGCAGAGACAAATATCTTCTGTCCTCTGGATCATCCTCAACATAAAGATAAAATAAAAACAAAAATAAAACTGGGCCTGGTGGGACAGCATAGCGGCTAAAGTCCTTGCTTTGCACATGCTGGGATCCCACATGGGTGCCAGTTCTAATCCCGGAGTCTCCGCTTCCCATCCAGCTCCCTGCTTGTGGCCTGGGAGAGCAGTGAAGGACGGCCCAAAGCCTTGGGACCCTGCACCTGTACGGGAGACCCAGAAGAAGCTCCCAGCTGTAGGCTTTGGATGGGCTCAGCTCTGGCCATTGTGGCCACTTGGAAAGTGAATCAGCAAACAGAAGTTCTTTCTGTTTCTCCTCTCTGTATATCTGCCTTACCAATAAAAATAAATAAGTCTTGTTTAGAAATAAATAAGTAGATAGACAGATGAAGCAAGCTAATATTTCTTACCTGTGCAAGCACTTTCCTTATCAAAGAAGGGAAAAACTTCAAGATCCTGAAGTCTTCTCCCTTCTTAAGCCCATTAGATCCAGGGCAGGCACTTGGCACAATGCTAAAAATGCCACTGGGGACGGTCATGACCCACCGTGCAGTGCCTGGTCTGCATCCCACCTATGCTCCTGGCTCCAGCTTCCTGCTAAAGCACCTGAGGGCTTGCAGGTGATGGTCCAGGAAACTGGGCTCCAGCCACCAATGGAGGAGACCTGCACCAAGTTCTGACGTCCTGCCTTTGGCCTAGTGATTTGTGGGAAATGAACCAGGAGGTGGAAGATCTCTAACTCTGTCTCTCTGACATCCTTTCAAATAAATAAATAAAACTTAAAAAGAAAAGCAGAGAGAGAAACTTGCAGAAGAAAGAGAATGTTAAATGAAAGGCTCTAGTTTCCACAGAAGCAGTGAGTTAAACCACACCCTGTGTTGACCCTGCCGCTGAACCCCCTGGGCTCTTGCCCAGCATTTCTTGCCCAGGCTGGCAGGGGAACTGCAACTGATTTAATGAAAACTGGTTCTGTGGTTCCTGTGAGCATGTGAGTTTCTTAAATGCCATCAAGACATTGATACAGCACTCCCACTACTGAAGCAAAGTCATCCCAGTTAACATCACTCTTATCCTTCTATTTTAACATGTATTGAATGACTCTATTTCAATCACTTGAAATCAGTATTTTTTCCCCTACAGCAATGGTAAGGGCAAAGTTCAAATCCCATAAAAGAAGCACCTGTAAGAGAAAGCAGACTCCTGCGGGTGTGCCGCTTGGCTCGCTGAGTCGGGGAGGTCATCGGCAGAGATGTTCTGGAGTGTCTCATCCCGAGGAGAGTCGTGTGCACTTTCGCCATCACCCATAACCTCTAAACAAAACCCAACCTGTGTTACCAGTTTGTTGGACATTCTTCTGAAAGATACCATATGCACATACAAGCACAAACACAGTGCACCACATAAACTTTTATCTATTTTGTTTTCAGCTTAATTTATCAAGGGGACTATATTACTATTTTTCTGACAGCTACCAAGAATTTCACAATTAGGAAAGTAGAATCCTTTAAAAACTACACAGTAATCAACAGTGAATGTTAACCCATCCTGAGAGCCTCCCAGGCGACCCCAAGCACACATAGACCGAGCAGACACACAGATGGTTTGGAAAGCACATGTTCATTTCCTCCAGCTCACAAGAGGACTGGCCTGGTTATAGTCTGCAATTCTGAGATAAACTGATTGTTAGCTTCCCTTTCTTTTTAAGGGTTATTGAAGTTAGACTACCTTTCTCACTGTGACTTAAGAGTTACTATTCAGAGACTCAGCACGGTACCCTAGTGGCTAACTCGTCACCTTGCACGTGCAGGGATCCCACATGGGCGCCAGTTTGTGTTCCAGCTGCTCTAATTCCCTTCCTGCTTCCTGCTGGTAGTACGGGAAATAGTAGAGGATGGACCAAGGCCTGAGACCCTGCACCCACATGGGAGACCTGCAGGAAGCTCTAGACTCCTGGCTTTGGATTGGCTCGGCTCCAGCCATTGTGATCATTTGGGGAGTGAACCAGTGGGTAGAAGAACTTTCTCTCTCTCTCCTTTTCTCTGTAAAATTTTTTTCTTTTTTTTTTAAAGATTTATTTTTATTATGTTTTTATTAGAAAGGCGGATATACAGAGAGGAGAGACAGAGAGGAAGATCTTCCGTCCAATGATTCACTCCCCAAGTGAGCGCAACGGCCGATGCTATGCCGATCCGAAGCCAGGAGCCTCTTCTGGGTCTCCCACGCGGGTGCAGGGTCCCAAAGCTTTGGGCTGTCCTCGACTGCCTTCCCGGGCCACAAGCAGGGAGCTGGAAGGGAAGCGGGGCTGCCGGGATAGAACCGGCGGCCACAAGGGATCCCGGGCGTGCAAGACGAGGACCTTAACCACTTGCGCCACTGCGCCGGGCCCAATTTGACTTTTCAATAAAAATAAATAAATCTTTTTTTTTTGGTTCCTATTCCAATCTTCACCATGAATTCTCACCTGTACTTTCATAGTTTACTCCTTCACTGGGGCTGGTCCGTTTAATGGCATTTCTGTATTTGTCCAAGATGTCCTCAGCGACCTGAGCTTGAGCATTTAGCCTAGGGCTGGAATCATCTGTGGGGAGAGGAGGGTGAGATCAGCTCTCTGCTTGCACAAGCCTGATGTTAGTATGACACCAGTAACAGAATCCCAAAGGCGGATTAGGAGGTAAGACTTAAGAAGAGCACATATCTCAACGCTAAGAGGCACCATGCAGCTGCCTGCTCATCCCACTCCTAGGCCTGGGAGCCTTGCCCAAGCAGAACACTGGCAGGAGTCAGCTCCCCTCATCATCAGAATTCTGCAGGACAGCATCAAAGAGCCCAGTGCAGACAGAATGGATGATGAGTTTCTCGAGTGAGTATATTCAAATCACCGTTACGAGTAATTCATGCTAACACAATTTCCAACAATGTGTGTTATACAAAGACTTCATTTATTAAGACATCTTTGTGTTCAAGGAGGAAAAAAACCTTTTTCAAACAAACTCGTTTCAAAAATGACAAAAATGCCTTTCTTCATTCTTCCTTCATGAGTTGTTCTCTATCTTATACTTGAAAATGGTATATATCCTTATCAGAGTGCTACTTCTGGAATAAAGCACCTGCTTGCACAGGTAGTGGTGTCAGAGGCACTCCAAGAGAATCTAGAGCTTTTGGGGAGCGCTGGAAGTGCACGTGGGAGGCATGCCACATCTGGGGCACGATCTGTTAATAGAACTGTCAACAGAATGAGGTCAGCCCACCAAGAAGGCTTTTCTGGAGTCCAAGATGCAGCCATGAAGTCACTGGTTGTCAAAGCAAAGCTCTACACAAATGTCCAGGATAAAGTCTTGCAATGATGTGCCATTTTCTAAGATACATCTAGGCCTACAGGCAATCATAAATGCAGGTTCCCCTTTTTCAAACATTCTAACACCACATTAAAAAGAAAAGGTCACTCAATTATGTAAGTAATTATATAAGCATGTGAGTTAGTAGCAGCTAACTTTACGAGCACTTACCACATGCCAGGACCTTGCTAAGCACCTTGCATGGACTAACTCATTACCAAATAACTTTATAGGATTATCCCAAGTCATCAATGCTACAGGGAAATTCTTTCAGCAGTTCCCTAGAGAAATCCTGTTGCAAGCTCTCAGGCATTCTTTCATCCACAAAATGGTAATAACTATGTAGAGAGCATTTCCCAAAAGATTCAATAATTTTTCTTTAATGACATTTAAAAATGAAACTGTGAACTGATAAAACCCTTATCATAACACAATCCTATTTTGGAGTGAGAGCATTTTTTTGGTTCTCATTTTTGAGCACTGCAAAGAATACTGAAAAAAAAAAGTATACAATTGGGCTAAACACAGTGACAGCCCTAATGTTCTTTATAAACTTTATTTCTATCAACACCAGTCCCCAAAATTTCATCCCAAGAACTTAATTTTAAAAACAGAACAAAAAAACGCTCACATGCAAGGACGTGGGCATTACTATTATTTTTGGTGGGCATTATTTTCATAGTGAAAAAATGGACAGAATGCTTACACTACAGAATTATATGATATACCACTTTATACCTAAATGAAAGTATTTTAAAAATCCATTATGGGGCCCGGCGCGATGGCACAGTGGTTAAGGTCCTCACCTTGCACGCCCGGGATCCCATATGGCCGCCGGTTCTATCCTGGCAGCCCCGCTTCCCATCCAGCTCCCTGCTTGTGGCCCGGGAAAGCAGTCAAGGACGGCCCAAAGCTTTGGGACCCTGCACCCGCGTGGGAGACCCAGAAGAGGCTCCTGGCTTCGGACCAGCATAGTATCAGCCATTGCGCTCTCTTGGGGAGTGAATCATCGGACGGAAGATCTTCCTCTCTGTCTCTCCTCTCTGTATATCTGCCTTTCCAATAAATAAATAATAAAAATAAATCTTAAAAAAAAATTCCATTATGTTGGGCCCAGCGCTGTGGCCTAGCGGCTAAACTCCTTACCTTGAATGCACTGGGACACCATATGGGCGCCAGTTCTAATCCCGGTAGCTCCATTTCCCATCCAGCTCCCTGTGTGTGGCTTGGGAAAGCAGTCAGGGATGGCCCAGAGCATTGGGACCCTGCACCCGTGTGGGAGACCTGGAGGAGGTTCCTGGCTCCTGGCTTTGGATTGGCAAAGCACCAGCTGTTGCGGTCACTTGGGGAGTGAATCATTGGACAGAAGATTTTCCTCTGTTTCTCCTCCTCTCTGTAGATCTGACTTTGCAATGAAAATAAATAAATCGGGCCTGGCAGCGTGGCCTGGTGGCTAAGGTTCTGACCTTGAATGCACCAGGATCCCATACGGTTGCCGGTTCTAATCCCGGCAGCTCCACTTCCTCTCTCTCTCTCCTCCTCTCTGTATATCTGACTTAGTAATAAAAATAAAATAAATCTTAAAAAAAAAAAAAAGAAGAAAAAGAAAATAAATAAATCTTAAAAAAAATCCATTATGTCTACCATAAATTGAGAGAGGGCTTCTAAAATAACATGTGGTAAGAATACAAACTGTTACAGACACAATCCAATTCAATCATAAAAAAGCAATGTGCAAATATGGAAAAAGATTAGAAGAGAACATGAAAAACATTGCAGTTTAGATAGCAAGTTTAGAAAACAAGCAGACTGTTAAAAATTTTTAAAAATAGAATCCATTTATTTGAAAGCTAGAACTGGAGACAGGGAGAGGTGTACGGTCACCTCCATCACTAGTTCATTCCCCAGATTGCCACGACAGCCAGGGTGGGGCCGGACAAGCCGAGAGCCGGGGGTTCCTCCCAGCCCCCCTGGGGAAGCACTGGACCATCTTCTGATGCATTTCCAGCCATCGCAAACATTTGGGGAGCGAACTGACAAGATAGAAGATCTCCATCTCTGTCTCTCTGTGACTCTGCCTTCCAAATAAATAAAATAAATCTCTTTTTTTAAAAGTGTAGTGCATTATAAACCTTAGCATTCTGAACATATGAATACAGTAAATTCCTTTCCATAATGACAATTTCTTCCCAACTCTCTCCAATCAAGCTGGAAAGTCCCAATAAACCCAGGTCACGTGGGACTTGGTTTCCTACCCACAGCACTTAGCACCATGCCTGGCATGGGTCAGATGGTCACCACTTGATCCGTTAATCGGTTAGGACAGGCGTGGCTGCTCGTAGCAGAAAACTCTGGCCTGTACACACATTTGCTGCTGTTTAAAACCCACTATTCCACAGAAGTTTCTCTATCAGACAAAGCAGAGTAGGAAGGAATATAATATGCGAGGACATAGAACATACATAAATACATAGAAGTAGGTATTAGACAACATGCATTAAAATAGGATTCCATATGCTCTATGCCAAAATTTTTAAGGATATTCTTTTTAAAACTTATATCACTGTTAATTTTTAAAATCATCTTTTTTACTTGGTAGGACATTAGGATAATATTTAAAATCAAAACAAGAAAAGAGGTGAGAAATGCAATTCCCTCTAGGTCCTCTATAACCATTGGAGACAATCCACAGTTATCAAACTGAACATTACTTCTCAGACTCTTTGAAGATGTTCATTTCTAACATGCCAAAAAGAAACTTGGAAATACAAATGTAAGTATGGTTAGAAACTAATTCATAGTTGTATTTTCCTTGGGTCAGACAGCAATGTTAAAATGGTTAAAGTCATGGAAAAAGTAAGGTTTTTTAAAAAAACTTTTGTTAATATTTGTTTATGTATGGAGCTGGAGAAAGAGATCTGCTATCTGCCTGTCTGTTCTCTCTGCAGATCCCCTTCCACGCCTGCCATAGCCGGAAGCCTAGCAGGATGACAGCAGGAGCCTGAGCACAGAGTGGGTGTGCCTTGTAGGCAGCAGGAACCTAGCTACTTAAGCCACCATGTGCTGCCTGCCAGAGCTTCAGTGTCAAGGAGCTGCAGCAGAGGTGGGGTCAGGCCTGGAAATGGGATACAGGAACCCAAGAGGGACTACCTGCTGCACCAAATATCCATCCGGGTATTTACAGTATTGTTCAGACAAATATATTACACACACACACACACACACACACACACACGATTACATAAAATAGAATTCTACTGTGATCCTCAATAAACCAGATCAAACTACAGATGGAAATAAGTTTAGCATTCTATGATCAATATTAGGGGAAACTATTTAATCAATGGTCCAAAGATGCAACATGCATAGCTTTAGAACCATCATCACACTATCCTAAAAGCTAATCTGCCATCATCCCACTAGAGGGCGAGTTACAGTGTGTGCCTGAGAGGTTTGGGACCTCTTAGGTGGGAGATGAAGTAATGATGATGAGGATGATGATGGTGATGGCAGTCTGCAGGAAGAGTACACTCAGATGCACTGTGGCCACCCATGGGAAACCCGGCACTACAACACACTCCCCACAGTACACACACAGACACACCCTCCTGAAAAGGCAACGCTTATGGCACCCAAGAAAAAGTGTTATGAAATATGTGCTCTGGGAATGAAGGAGCCAGGAAGCCCAGGGGTCTACAAACCTGTGAGTGCTGAGAATCTGTCAGGCCCCAGATCATCTTTGTCTTTTTCTTGTTTTTCTTTCTTTCTAAATGGTATAGGAGCTGGAAATTAAATAAAGTCAGTAGTGTGACACATAACATACTGCACTACTTGGAAGTTAACTGGTGTGCCAACATTTCTAACTGAAAGGAGGCTGAAAAGTTTAAGAGCTAAGAAATCCTAAGCACTTCTTGATAATTGTTCTTAAAATAGCGCTGAGGGTTCTTACAGAAGCTCTCAGATTCTGCTTTGAAGTCATCGGCCAAGAATGATTCACCAGGAATCCAGTGGGACTATAACAAAGCCACTGCCTCTTAAGTCTCTGCTCACAACACGCTCAAGGCTACTAGCCTCAACTACTCTGTGTCGAGCAGCTGGAGCGTGGCGCTGAGTGGCTCTCTCAGCTCCTGGGAAGAGGCCAGCAGAAGAAGTCTTTAGCTTCCCTCTGGGACGATCTCTCCCTTCAGGAAGAGGGACCTTTGCCAATCAAATGATGCCAGGCAATTCAGCCAAAAGCCCAACCAGTTTTACACAGTCTTCCAAAATAAACACTAATATTTAGAGTACAAACATTCTCAATGAACACACATAAAAAGCTTAAATTTATTATAAGAATGTAAGGATGGAATTTTCAATATATAATTACAAATTGCATCCCATCTTCCTATAATAAATAATAGCAATTCCTAGGTCAATGTCCTCTATGTTCAGCTTCAACGGCTTATGAAGTTACCAACACTGAGCAACACGATTACATTTATAAAACAGTGACCCCCTCTTTGCAAAGAATAAGGATGCTTCTAAAGCTTAAGAGTGAGACCTCAATGCAACTAGCCCCTGAGGCCCTGCAAGCCTTCCAGAGGGCTGCAACAAGGGCCCTCTCAGAGATCCGGGCCTTGCTTCTTGTCACTAACACCACACTTTAATATTGCATAAAATTACCTTTAGGCATAGCTGAAACAAAACGCTTTCTCCACCAAGGTCTGTTCCTGTCTGATTTCTCATCATCGCTATCTTTGCGTTCTTCAGTCTGTAGAAAAAGTTTCATGCTTTATTTGGAGTTGGGAAGCAGGACAAATTACTAGGAAAAATATTTCAATACATCTGTGAAATACAAAAGCCAATCTTAATTTGCCTTAAAGCAAAACTGTTCTTACTACCACGGAAGCGGTTCTGTGACATAGAAACACACTTTCAAGAACCAGGCCAGTTTGTGCTTGAGCACCTGAGGGTAAGTGCTGTCTTAGCAGTAACCTGTACCAAGCCTGGCAGGGACAGACACTCAGAAACTACACACGGAATAAGGAAACACAATGCAAACCAACTCTAGAGCAGCAATGATGTAACAACAGTGCTAATAATACGACTGAGGTTCTGTGAACTGTGTGCCAAACCCGAGCATAAGGGCTGCACACTCCCTCACTGGCCCTCACAGTGGCCTTGGGAGACAGGCCCCATTATGACGCACTTTTTAGAGGGCAGAAGCATGAGACCAAACAGGGTTTTCTGCCTCTCTTCACCGGTTTGTGGCACGGCTGAGAGTGAAAACCAGATCTGACTAATTACTTGTGTTCTGAGTGCCACTGTTACCAAGTTACCACGGAGACCATATGGTAAGGGCCGGAGCTGTGATCCCCACGTCAGCTGACCATCTAACTGCGGACAAATCATCCAACTTCTACCTGTTTTGTCTACAAATCTAGGACTAAAAATACCTTCCTCGCTGGCATACCTGTTAACAGATCAGAACCCAAGCAGGAAGCTGAAAGTACCTGTGACAGGGAAAAGTTAGTAATGGGGATAAGAAAATCACCCCCAAGCCCAGCGGCGTGGCCTAGCAGCTAAAGTCCTCGTCCTGAACGCGCTGGGATCCTATATGGGCGCCAGTTCTAATCCCGGCAACTCCATTTCCCATCCAGCTCTCTGCCTGTGGCCTGGGAAAGCAGGCAAGGATGGCCTAAAGCCTTGGGACTCTGCACCTGCGTGGGAGACCTGGAGGAGGTTCCTGGCTCCCGGCTTTGGATCGGCACAGCACCGGCCATTGCACTCACTTGGGGAGTGAACCATCAGATGGGAAATCTTCTCCGTCTCTCCTCCTCTATGTGCATCTGACTTTCCAATAAAAATAAACAAATCTTAAAAAAAAAAAAGAAAAAAGAAAAAAAGAAAATCATTCCCTGGGCCCAGTGCAATAGCATAGTCCTGCCTTGAACACGCTGGGACCCCATATGGGTGCCAGTTCTAATGCCAGAAGCCCAGCTTCCCATCCAGCTCCCTGCTTGTAGCCTGGGAAAGCAGTGGAGGATGGCCCAAAGCTTTGGGACCCTGCACCCACATGGGAAACCAGGGAGAAGCTCTGGACTCCTGACTTTGGATTGGCTAAACTCCAGCCATTGTGGCTACTTGAGGAGTGAACCAGAAAATGGAAGATCTTCCTCTCTGTCTCTCTTCCTCTCTGTATATATCTGCCTTTCCAATCAAAATAAATTAAAAAATCTTAAAAAAAAATAATTCCCTGAGGGAAACAGATCAAATGACATCATGAAGAATCATGAAAGCAGGTTTGTTGCTACGTGAGACATGAGCTCATGAGTACAGAAAAGGAAACACGCTGCCCCTTCTCGATGAGACCTGGGTGTGTGTGAGCTCACAACTGTCGCCGTGTGCCAAGAGGTCACAGGCGCACGGTGAGTGCGGGCACACATGCCTGTCTACACGGCAGTTTAAGCAGCAGGGACTGCTGTTCCCAGAACTCCATTTATAAAGCTATTTTTTTTTTCACTTAAAAAAAATAATAAAACTAGATTATTTGAGGAAAAGGTTAATTCCAGCACTAGGACAGAAAAAGGTTAAGGTAAGCATGTAGCACTTTATGCTGGAAAGCATCATTCACAGGAGAGAGGCTAGGAGCCAGCAGGCCAGGAATGATGCTCAGAACCTGCTGGGCAGGGCAGTTACGTATTCTCAAAGAGCTTTTGCATAAAACACTTCTTCCACAGGGACAAGGAGGAATGCACCGTGCAGAAGCCTTGCAGACAACAGCTTCACGAGCGAGCTCATGAAAATCACAGTAATGGATGAAGGAGTGTGCTAAGTCAGGACACAGTGAACAGTCGTGTTAGGGATGCTCCTGCCAGAGCCAGATAACACACATTTAACGACGAGGAATCATCCAATAAACCTAAACTGAGGGAATCTAAACAATTACTGCAACTTTAAAAGTCAAGGTCCATGGAAGTCAAGGAAAAACTGGGGAACCTTTCCAGAATGAAAGAAAACATGACAACTAAAATCTGTGCAGTTATGAATGAAATGTTCTTACCATAGATTGTTACCAAGAACCAGTGAGGACTTTAGAGTGTCATGTGAGTTCAGCAATAGTTTTCAGTGTTCGTCTCCTAACACCAAAGACTGAGCTAGGACCGATAGGGAAGGAGCTGGCATGAAACATGGCATTCAGTGGGTGGGGGGGTTGGCTCAAGGTGGTAACCTACTCTCAAATTGTGGGACAATGTTCTTTTTTTCATAGGTGCAGTTTCAACTTGCTTGTAAATTCATGCTTGTCTCACAATAAAAATACCACATCTAGCCACCTCAGAGAGATACTGTGAGGTTTTAATACAATTAGATATGAAACTGCTTGCAAAAGTGTCAGAAAAATGTAAGACAGGACTGCCACACAACATCACCTACCTAGGTTTCCTGCGCACTACAATCCTGGGTACTGCAGACTAACAAATCATTTCAAATAAGGACTATGGTCCATTCTTAGGCTTAATATTTCATATTCTCTTCAACTATCAAGAGAACCAGCCAGCCAGATCGAGGTCAACCGACTCAGCAAATCCTGCAGAGCCTGGGTCTCCTACCTCTCCTCTTGAGGAGTCCTTGCTCGGGGAAGAGGACGACGAGTGAGGTGCAGCCACCAAACAAGTAGCACCACTGGCTGCACCTGCAGGGAGCTCCCGCTCTTCGTTCCCGGCACGGCGGTTCCAGCCGGGATCACTCATGGGGCGCCGGACAGAGGACACGATATCCGAGCTCCTGCTGCGCACCAGCCTCTCCGGGTAGGAGTGCCTCTGCCTGAAGGCCTCCATCTCAGCGGCGGTTAGGACGTGGGAGACCAAACTGGGCAGTCGGGCCTCATTTCCTCCCACGGCGCCTTCCAGAATAGGAGGGTCTGGTGGAGGGTGGGACGGCCTAGCGTAGTGAACCTTTGGCCTGACCACGGCAGAAGCTCCTGCAGTACAACAGAAACCATTTTGTCCCTGAGAAAACATGTTGCTAGTGGCGACCAAGGGTTTCTAGTGTCTTCGCTCTGCAGCGAGAGGCGCCAGCCCATGTCCCGAGCTTACCTTCCTGTGAGGACAGTGGATCGAACATGGCGAGCAGAGACTCGGACTGAGAAGGCGGGGAGGTCAGCTGGTGGGCACCTGCAACCAGGGGCAGACCGTCAGACCAGCACAAACCAGCCGGCCAAGGTGCTGACACAGTATAAGGGTTTCCAGGATGCTTTGACAATGGTCCTTTTTTTTTTCAAATCAGAACTTCAGGAGCATACAGAAAAAAATTGCAACTAATAAATATTAGATTCTAACCATTTGAAATTCACTTTATAGTTGTGTCTGTTTTCATGAATGGATTTCCATTACTCTTAGTGGTCTAACATGACACATCCATTACCCTTTTTTAAAAAAAAAGATTTCCTTATTTTGGGCCAGTGTCAAAGCATAGTAAGCTAAGCCTCTCCACCTGTGACAGCAGCATCCCATTTGGGTGTCAATTCATGTTGCAGCTGCTCCACTTCCAGATTCAGCTCTCTACTTAAGGCCTGGGAAGACAGCAGAGTGGTTCAAGTTCTCGCGTCCCTGCTCCCATTCAGGAGACCAGAGGAGGCTTGAGACTCCTTGCTCCAGGATTTGCACTGATTCAGTTCTGGCTGTTGTGGCCACTTGTGGAGTGACCCAGCGGATGGAAGATCTATTTCCCCATCTCTCTATAACCCTGATTTTCAAATAAACATTTTAAAATAAAAAACATTGATTCATTTTTACTTGAAAGTCAAAGCATCAGAAAGGAGAGACAAAGATCTTCCATCTATTGGCTTACTCCCCAAATGGCTACAAGGGCAGAGTTGGGCTGCTCCAAAGGCAGGAGCCAAGAACTTTTTCAAGGTCTCCTAAATGGATGCAGAGGCCCAAACTTTGTCAGGTCATTATCAGGGAACTGGACCAGAAGTGGAGCAGCCAGAACTTGATTGGGTACCCATGAGATCCTGGCGGGAAGCTTAACCTGCTCCACCGTGGTGCTGCTCCTATTACTTTAAATGGCCAGATTAAATGATGGACAACGTAGAGCGCAGAGCCACATGATCTAAACCACTGCATTTCTTCAAAAGGCTGAGGCTTCCCTGAGCATCATCTCCTACCACACCAAAAATAAAGACAACAGGATCCACCAAGGGGGTATAAATAAAAAAGCTCAAAATTTCAAACCAAGGGTCACCACCATGGCATGTAAAGTCACTGCCTGTGTTGCTGGCTCACTCCAATTCTGACCCAGCTCACTGCTAATGGCCTGGGAAAGCAGTGGAAGATGACAAAAGTGCTTGGACCCCTGTTCACATGTTGCAATCCAGAAGAAGCTCCTGCACCTCAGTTTCCAACCAGCCCAGCTCTGGCAATTGCGACCATTTGGGGAGTCAATCAGTGGGTAGAACAGCTCTGCATCTCTCCTTCTCTCTCCATACATCTGCCTTGCCAAATAAAAAAATCTTTTAAATACGCAAATATATGTGGATTCAAGGATCCAGATATGACAAAATAATTTTTGCTGTTTCATAAGGACAGTCATAAAGTGAAATATATTTTTTTTAATTGAGAGAGAAGAATGCAATGACTGCTCGTACTGCCCAGTGTCCTTGCCCCTCCTAAGGTCAAGCACGCCTGACCCATCTCTGCTTGCGCATTCCATGTGCAAGTGTCAACACAGAGGAAAAGGAAGCCACCCTTTGCTCTGATGAAAACAGCTTTGGCCTTCCCTCTCTGCTTCATGTTCAAGTCTAGAAACCAAGAAATAGATGACAAAAGTCTGCAGGGCCCAGCATGGTGCCCCAGCAGCTAAAGTTCTCAACTTGAAAGCACTGGGATTCCACATGGCGCCAGTTCTAATCCCGGCAGCTCTACTTCCCATCAGCTCCCTGCTTGTGGCCTGAGAAAGCAGTAGAAGATGGCCCAAAGCCTTGGGACCCTGATTCCAAGTGCGAGACCTGGAGGAAGTTCCTGGCTCCTGGTTTTGGATTGGCTCAGCACCAGCTGTTGCAGTCACTTGGAGCTTGAACCATCGGAAGGAAGATCTTCCTCTCTGTATCTCCTCCTCTCTGTATGTCTGACTTTGTTCTAAAAATAAAAAATTAAAAAAAAAAAAAAAAAAGAAAGAAAACAGCTTTGCCTTTGCACTCCCCCCACCTCAGGAGGGTCTTAAAAACCCTCAGTGGTCCAGAGACAACCTTTCAGGACTCCTCATATGGACCGGCAGTTCTCAACTGGCAGCTCTTTTACCTCACTAATGATGATTTGGTGATGTCAAGAGACTTTTATTGCAAAAAGCTCGCGGTGGTGGGACAGCACGCTACCGGTGAGGCCAGAGGAGCTGCTAACCATCATGTAACGCACAGGACAGTACCACTACAAAGAATGATCTAGCTCAAAATGTCCCAAGTGCTAAACATTAAAACAAACCTTAGTTTATTAAAAAAAAAAAAAAAAGGTAAAAGAAAAGCTAGCTACAAAACCGCTGCCCACATAAAGCCACTTCTTCTTTCCAACTCATTCCCATGCATGTCATTTTTAACTTCCTTTTATCCTGTACATGAATTTCTAGAAAATAAATTTTCCACATAATAGTATGCTCTAGGTATTTCTCCAAGTCATTTCACATACTTCATGGTATTAAAAAATAGTTGCATAAATTCTAATTGGGTCCATGAAAATTCAGTCACTGCATTTTTTAAAAAATATATTTATTTTTACTGGAAAGGCAGAGATACAGAGAAAAGAGAGGACAGACAGAAAGATCTTCCAATCTTCCATTTGCCTGCTGGTTCATTCCCCTAGTGGCCACAACAGCTGAAGCTAAGCCAATCCGAAGCCAGGAGCTTCTTCCCAGTCTAGACTTGGGTGCAGGTTCCAAGGCCTTGGGCCATCCTTGGGCCAGGGAGCTGGAAGGGAACTGGAACAGCCAGAACACCACATGGGATCCCAGGTGTGCAAGGCAAAGACTGTAGCCACTAGGGCAGCGGCTGGGCCTGCATTTTTCAATTCTGAAGTTGTTTCCCACATCCTACCTATAGTTTAAACGTTATGGACATCATCTTTGTTTAGAAGACTTTCTCCTCTGTACACAGAATAATTTCCTTGTCACTTACTGTTCATAAGGGAACTGAACCAAATATAGAATGTGAAATTCAATACCTTAAATACTTACCACAACTGATGCCCCAAAGTGCTATATATCAATTGATATATTACCACCAACAATGAAAGGCTGCGAGTTTTAACCATGGATATAATCATTTTTAAAATTATTCCTATCTAGGCCCAGCACACTAGCATAGTGGTTAAAGTCCTCACCTTGAATGCACCGGGATCCCATATGAGCACCGGTTCTAATCCCAGCTGCCCTGCTTCCCATCCAGCTCCCTGCTTGTGGCCTGAGAAAGCAGTTGAGGATGGCCCAAACCTTGGAACCTTGCACCTGTGTGGGATACCTGGAAGAAGCTCCTAGATCCTGGCTTCAAACTGGCTCAGCTGCGGCCCTTGTGGTCGCTTGGGAAGTGAATCATTGGATGGAAGACCTTCCTCTCTGTCTCTCCTCCTCTCTGTAGATCTGACTTTGCAATAAAAATAAATAGATCTTAAAAATATTCTTATCTCCCTTTCTCACCATGAGTTATTTCATCCATGTCAGGGCTAGTGACGGAATCTTTGCCCCCAAAATCAGAGCTGCATTCAGATCTCAGGTCTTCAGTCTTATTGGGAATATCTTCAGAGGTTGCGCTTATGCCTTTAAAAAAACAAAACAAAACAACAGGAGAAAAACTAAACAGCAAGACGACAATAACTATTTTAAAAATGTATGAAATTTGGAGAAACTTAAGTGCTCTCAAATTTTACATCTATGTGCTATATACGTTGATTATTTCATATTACATCCTTCATCATTACAGCATTGCTAGCACATGCCGACCTCGCCTTATACAACATAACCAGAACCCCGTGCTACTCACATACAGCAGTAGCGGCTACTTAAGAATACAGAGTTACAGAGGGACTATTTCCCCAGTACTTCAACAGGCTCTACAAAACTACCATGACCTTTCCAAAGACTTAAAGTGCCACAAAGTAATTTTATTTCCTAGAAGTTAACCAGATGTTAAATAAAACACATGTCTTATGCTTACAAATGGGGAGTGGGAAGGCGGAGTGACGACACCTTCAAATCCCCATTCCTTAGAAGGAGACACACATACCGGACACAACACTGAGGCCTGGTGTGCTGGGGCGCGAACTGACCTCCCTGACATCGGTCTCATCCGATGTGCTGCCCAGTCCGGAACAGCTCTCCAGTTCCTGCAGCCGCTCCTCCTGCTTAAGGTCCGGGGCCTCTAAACAGAAGAGGGAGGTCTCCCATTAGTCATTCTAGTGACAGGCCACCTTTCAGCTTTGGTGATGCAGATAAACAATGTCCCCAAGGCATAAATGAAAGCTTCATCCCAGTATAGGCCAGTTCACTGTGCACAGATGAAAATCGGTTCCATATCTGTAATCTCATCAAGTGTGCTGTTAGCTAACACACAAACTGGACAAGAGAGTCCGGAACAGCTTAGCATTAAATCAACAGTTTCCTAAAAATTGCTAAAGTTACTCAACAGATGGTCAGGTAATCCCTACTACCCTTCCCACTTATCTCCAGCCAAAATTAGCACATTATACAACATAGAACAGGATCTCCCAATTATTCCTAGGTAAATTAGATACAATGTAATGCAGATATATTTACTTAATATTCATATTCTGGTAGTTGATATGTAAAGGACCAAGATTTGATTTCACAATCAGAAAAAAAAAAAAGGAGAACTGCAGAAATGCAATATATGAGATAAATACAAGATTTACACATATTCATAATATTCATAGTATCCCCGACCCAGGGACCTTCAGCACTATAGTCTCAATTTCCACATATTTCAAAATACATTAAACATCTTCTAAAAAGGACAAATTCTCCCCTGGAATAAATTTAAACAAGGACATAAGACAGTGAAAGATTCAATGTTTGAGCAATGCTGTCACTCTTAGTCCAGGATGAATTAGTGGGAAATACTAAACTGAATGACCTACACAAACCCCATGAGTTATAAATAACAACCGAGGCCCAGGGCAAGGGTTAGTGGCTAACATCCTTGCCTTGCAAGCACCAGAACCCCATGTGGGAACTGGTTCCTGTCCTGGCTGCTCCACTTCCCATCCAGCTCACTGTGGCCTGGGAAAGCTGTCGAGGATGGCCCAAGTCCTTGGGACCCTGCACTGGATCCTGGCTGCAGATTGGCTCAGTTCTGGCCACTGTGGCCACTTGTGAAGTGAACCAGAGAACAGAAGATCTTTGTCTACTGTTTTCACTGTAAAGGTGCCTTTGCAATATAAACAAATAAATCTTTAAAACAAACAAATTTAAAAACTATGGTATCAAAAGATCTACTTCCTCAAACAAATAAATAAATACATAACAACCAAGCACAGGGTCAGAAAGCACCAGCCATGCAATGCTGTCTTTCTTTTCTTAATGGGCAGAAAATGTTTAACTGATTTTCCCTTAGAATTTCTTAGCAATGTGATATGCTTTAACCAGGTACGTGTACCAGACACTAGGATACCTTACACTGGAAAAGGTACCAACAACAGCAGCATACGAACCTGAGTCACTTGGCAATACCTCGACACTCCAGGCTTCACTGGTGGTCTCTGAAATGGTAGAACCAGTGCAGGGGTCCAGGAGCACAGGCCCTGAGCCCGGGAGGCAAAGCAAACTGCCCAACATATTCTCTGCCGCTGTACCTGTTGGGAGGAGGAGCAAAGGGTTCACAAAGATCCACTGGAAAGAACAGCAGACAAAAGTTAAACCAAACACTAGGCTAGCAACTTCCCTTTACCCTCAAGAAACAAGCCAAGGAATAACTTAGATCAAGCACCTGCTGAGAACACACGCCCTTTGGTCCCAACAGTATGCCCTCCTTCCAGACAGAAACTGACTCCACAAACATCACGCACAATTAGAGCAAGTCATGTCAATCATAGCTCTTGTCTTGGTTTTTCAGCAAGTTTTACAAGTATCCTTAGCATCTTTCTACAATATATAGTCCACAAGGATTGAAAACATTTAAAGAAATGTAACCACAAGAGATACAAGGTTCCCGAGTTTAGGTCTGGTCCAGTCTCAACTGCTGCAGACATTTGGGCGATGAACCAGAGGGAGAAAGATTTTTTTTTTTCTTCTTGAAAGTCAGACACACAGAGAGGAGAGACAGAGGAAGATCCTCTATCTGATGATCCACCCCTCAAGCGACCGCAACGGCTGAAGCTGAGCCAGTCTGAAGCCAAGAACCCAGAGCCTCCTCCAGGTTTCCCATGCAGGTGCAGACTCTCAAGGCTCTGGGCCATCCTCAACTATTTTCCCAGGCCACAAGCAGGGAGTGGGACAGGAAATGGGGCCACCCGGACTAAAACTGGCTCATTCATGCAATCCCAGCACACTCAAAGCGAGGACCCTAGCCATTAGGCTACAGTGCTGGGCCTGAAAAATTCTCTCTTAACTCTTTCAAATAAATAAATCTTTAAGAAAAAAAAGTCCATTAACACTACTTAAAAATACAAATAAAAAAGGGTTAAACATTATCACATGCCTATGTTAAAATATATTCAAAATGCTACTTCTGTCTAAATCTATCAAAAGCAGAATTTGGGCCTGGCACAATGGCCTAGCAGCTAAAGTCCTCACCTTCAATGGGCAAGGATCCCGTATGGGTGCTGGTTTTAGTCCCGGCAGCCCCACTTCCCATCCAGCTCCCTGCTTTTGGCCTGAGAAAGCAGTGGAGGATGGCCCAAAGCCTTGGGACCCTGTACCCTTGTGGGAGACCTAGAGGATGCTCCTGGCTTCAGATCAACTCAATTCTGGCCAAAGCAGGTAAAAATATATACATCTCATAAAAAACAAAACAAAAACACCTTGCACTATGTGGATCGTCCTCTTCTGCCTCTCCTAAGACATCAGTAGGGATCCAGCTGGGACAAGAACTGGCACCAATATGGGATGCCAGCACCATACACAGCAAGGCTTTTTTTAGGGGGGGTGGGTTAAGATTTTTTTTTTTTGGAAAATCAGGTATACAGAGAGGAGAGACAGAGAGGAAGATCTTCCATCTACTGATTCACTCCCCAAGTGGCCACAATGGCCGGTGCTGTGCCTATTCAAAACCAGGCGCCCAGAGCCTCTTCCAATCCTCCCATGCAGGTGCAGGGTCCCAAAGCTTTGGGCCGTCCTCAACTGCTTTCCCAGGCCACAAGCAGGGAGCTGGATGGGAAGTGGGGCCACCGGGATTAGAACCGGCGCCCATATGGGATCCCGGTGCATGCAAGGCGAGGACTTTAGCCGTCAGGCCATTGCCAGCTATGCCACATCAGCCTCTGAACATCTCTCTTTTTACATTTCAATATGTATTATTCCAATGAGGTTTTATGGCTATAATCTGTAACAATTTTCATCTTAAAGTGTTTAGCCTCAAAAGGAGAATATACTAACCGCAGACTAAAAACAACACATGCCCTACACACAAGAATTGATGAAAAGCTAATTCAAAACATACGGATTCTTCCTCTTTTAGGGGACCCAGGGAAATAAAATGTGGAGATAAAAAACACTACTATTTTTAACTGAAGAAAAAACCCAAATGCCTTGTTCTGTACACTTAGCAAAGAGTACTAACGAGTCCAACACAAACCACGTGTGACGAAGCACTCACACTCCCTCTCATCAAAGTCTGGGTAGAAATCATACAGTAGAACTTTTCCAGAGACACTGAATAGTTACCTGCAATTTCCTGCAAGCGATCTTCATCAATGTTTGGATCGAAGTCACTTCCCAAAACATCTGTACTCCACGTCTCACTCACTGTCTCTGATATGTCTCTATCATCTGTTAGTCCCATCATGTCACGAATTTCAAATTTCCTTAGTTTATCATCAAGATTATCCTGTGTTGTTGCTATCAGAAACAAAATTAAGCATTTTAAAATGGCCGCAAGGCTATCATCCACCTTGAACAACCTTGCTTTGAACTTCAAGTTACACATTTTCCCATAAATAAGCATGAAGTACCCTCCAAGACTTTGCTGAATGAGTCGGCTGCTGAATGAGTTGGCCATGCTGACCCCTTACTTAAGAACAGCAGAGATCCCTACCTGACCACTGGTGGCCATAAATGCACAATAAGCCCAGTCAAAATCAACCACCCACCAGCTGACCCATAAACATAAGAGCAACATTAAATGTGTGTGTGTGGTGGGGGGGAAATGGGGGACTCTGTTACACAGCATTATGATGTCAATTATTAACTGATAAACCATACTAGAAATGATTTTCAGTTGACATGAATGACTCCTCACTGCATTCTAGAGTTTTCTCCCTTTATAGACAATTTCCCAACCTAGCATTGCACACCCATTTTCACTCAGAAGGCTTGTTAACAGGTAATGCACATCTGGTTTTTGTTCTAGGATTATATTCCTTTAGGTTTCTCTTATTTAAGACTACTTCAAACACTGACAATCAAGGCAGGAAAACATAGTGTGACTCTTGGTTAAATTACAGAGACTGCAAAAGTAACACAGTCTTTGCCTCTCTAAAAAGGTCTGATCAAGGATTTCTAGATGTGAGGCTTGGAGAATGGAATTTTTAAAAGCTCCCTGGTAATTCTTATGCTAAAGTTTAAGAATCATTGTCGGAAACAATCGTCTTACCCATTCTGCCCTCAGCCTTGACCCTTCCCACCTTGGTCAGCTATGTAAACATCGTAAAAAATAAAAAGCAAAATTTAAAAATATATATGCATAATTTTTTAAAAAGCAGGAATGTTTATAATGGAATAGTTTGGAAAAGCTATGAGTATTCCTTCTTTAGATTTTTATAATAGTATCTGTATTTTGTGGTATATATAGTATTAGATAAAATAAAAAACAAGGTTTGGGCTGTGGTCATATACATTCAATATGTGATGCTGAATAAAGAAAATGGGTGTTGTTTCACTTAAAAAATAAAAAAAAAAAATGAATCGTTTAAAAAAGAAAGAACCACTGCCCTAACCTAGCTGAGGGCCTCTGCCCTAAGTTTCCCAGATGAGTCTCCTTGAAGCACAAACTATCACCCTCCCCGTCACGCACCCCCGACTACGCACACAGCTTCTGCGTTAATACTGAAGCACAGTTTCCTTTTTTCAACGACAGGGACTCACCCTCTCTTCAATCCCTGCTTCATCTGTTTCCCTGCGGTCTGCAAGCTCTTGAACGTACTCATGCTCATCCTTCTCTCAGAACAACCTGACTCCAATTTCTGCCAACTGCAGTATCTGCCGAACTAAAACTGTTAGCTTCCTCCTTTAAACTTACGCTCTACCCTTTCAACCACATGTATCTCAGAACTGCCAAAGCATTGTTTAATACATTTAACTATCTGTGTACCATTTTAAACCTTTTCTAAGTTCCTTGACTATTTATCATTCTGTTCCTTAAATACTACAGAGCTGAAACACCAAATAAAACAGCATTTAAAGTAATTCATTTATTCTACGTAATTTAAACCTAAACTGACATAAACACTTCTAAGAACTGAAAGAATCATGAATAAAGGTTAGATTTAATGGTCCCTACATAATCATCTTAACTGAACAACTTAGATACAAATACCGTTTATCCTGCAATCAAGCAAACATCTGGAACTGAGTTGGACCTCACGTTACCTTGCTCATGCTCCAACAGCTGTAGAGCTTCAACACCGTTGCTCCCAGAAGGCCCCGCGCCAAGCTCTGACACAGACTCGGCTTCCAGATCTAGAGAGGATACCGAGTTGGAGCGATTTGAAGGACCTGGAGAAATATATGTAATGGAGACATCCTTTTAAAATACTTAAGAGCTATCACTCAAGTTTTTGAGCCTTAGTAAGAGACTAAAAACTAATTAAAGTCCTTTCAATGCAGCATTTATACTTTAAAAATGTGCATGCCCTCTGAGCCAGCAATTATTTAGAGCTAAAGGCAGCCATTAAAAAACAAAAATGTAGGGCCCGGCGTGGTGGTCTAGTCCTCTCCTTGAATGCCCATGTGGGCGCTGTAGAGGCCAGTGCTGGCACAGTGAGGGCGATGCCAGGAACGCATCCAGGTACCAGCTCAAGTCTCAGGTGCTAGGCTTCCGGTCCAGCTTCCTGCTAATGCGGCAGCTGGTGTAAGTACTTAACCCCTAGCTTTAGCCAGGCTTGCCCCTGACTGCTGTGGGAAATTCAGACTGATGTAGTGTTCCAGACTTCATACAGTCCTAGCTGCTGTTGGCATTTGGGGAATGATTCAGCAGACGGACTCTCCCTTACTCTCACGTTTTCTCTGTCATTCAAGTAGATGAAAACAAGCAAAGCTCTCAAAAAAACTCGTCACAGTCTTAGCCTTTCATTTTCCCTTTTGTTCCTATTTGCATTATATCGTTTCATAAAGATATGTGTATGTGAATAAAAAAATACAAGACACGGTGCCCAGTGTTGTGGCATAATGAGTAAAGACACCTCTCTGACACCGACGTCCCACGTGGGTATTGGTTTCTGACCTGGCTGTTCCCTGCTAACGTGCCTGAGAATTCAGCAGGGGATGGAGGAAATGCTCGGGCCCTGCACCCCCAAGGAAACGGGGGAGACGCTCCTCCCTTTAGCCTGGTCCCGCCCTGGCCACTGTGGCCACTGGAGAGATCAATCTCTCCCACCCCCACCCCTCACCTCCCAGAGCTCTGCGTTTCAAATGATACAACAAATCTTTTTAAAAAGGACACTGAAATCATATACAGCATCCTGAAATACTAATATACTATTTTTCCCATTTATACATGCATTATATCCCTCTAAAGGAGCTCTGTAAAATTTGGCATATATTAATACTGGAGAAACAAAGTCTGTAATTCTAAGTCTACAAGAAAAGTTACATATTCTCGATTTTACAGAACGCTCACAATTTACTCTGGGAAACAATCTTTACAGCCAACTGTTCACATCATTAGAGAACTTCATTACTTTCCTCAGTGAGAGGCCCAGACGGTATAATTATAATTTATAAGGCTCCTTTAAAGAACACAAAACAAAATATTACTTGAATCACACAACTCCTTGAATGAAGTAACCCTTCACCTTCAGATATTCCTTCCAGATTATCACTGCAGAGGGAAAAGCGCAAGGTTTTATCAGGTTTACCGTGGAGCTTGTTTTCATCAACAGGGACATCTCCGTGTCCTCCATCCGAAAGTTGCATGTTTAGGACCTGAAACACAAAATGTCCATTGTGCTTGATCACAACTCAAACATTACTGGTAAAAAACACAAATCAAAGCAGATACTTATTTAAATTCTTCTTTTAATAGAAAAGTTCACTTATTTTTTATTTAAAAAGCAGAATAACAGAGAAAGAGTGACAGAGAAAGATCTTACATCTGCTGGTTTACCCCTCAAATGCCCACAACAGGCCTAGTTGAGCTGGTCTAAAGCTGGGAGCCAGGAGCTTCCTCCAGGTATGTTCAAGGCGAGGAATTTCGGCGCTAAGCTACGGCACCAGGCCCAACCCTGCATTAGTCTTATGGCCTAGTTGCTCTTTCCATTATAGAAAGCAGAGTACTGAATTCACCAACTATATTTCTACAACTATGTATATGTCCCTTTAATTCTGTCAGTTATGCTACATACTTTGGGCTTTTAGGTCAAATACATTCAAAATAGCTGTATCTCCTAGAAGAATGCAACATTTGTTTCTTCTAGTCTTTCTGTTCCCAATAGGCAATAATCTCAATTTAATCATCTTCAAGATCACTGGCTCTTCTGCTTGCTCAAAGTCGAGAGCGGACAATGCAACTGAATTTTATTCCAGCTGCTGTACTTTCCAACCCGATTTCTACAGGACTCAGTCCTATAATTCTATTTCTTTACAATTATCCTCTAATCACTGAAAACTTGCCATCTTGGTTTCTTCGTGAGCTTTTTGTCTGTGACTCCCTAAGCCTTCTGAGTAAAAATAGTTTATTTGAAGTGAGGGTTAAGCTGCCATCTGTAATGCTGGCATCCCATACAAGCACTGATTCAAATTGCAGCTTTTCTACTTGTGACCCAGCTCCTGTTGATGCACCAAGGTAGGCCACTCCCACTGCTTTCCCAGGCCATAAGCAAGGAGCTGGACTGGCAAGTGGAACAGCCAGGACACAAACCAGTGCCCGTACGGGATACTTGTGCTTCAAACGAAGGATTAACCTGATATGTCAACATGCCAGTCCCAAGACTGCTTTTGTTTAAGCCTTACCTATGTATTTAGTTAATTATTTAGTAGACAGAGTTAGAGTGAGAGAATCAGATCTTTCATCTGCTGGTTCACTCCTCAGATGACCACAATAGCTGAGGCTAGACCAAATATAAGCCCAGAACTCCATCTGGGTCTTCCACCTGGGTGACAAGAACCCAAGAACTTGGACCCTCAATAAAATTCAGTTACTATGACAAGTTTGTTGTTAATTGTAAAGTTCCAAAAAACTCAATTCTGACAGTACTTTATGGTTTACTCATTTTTTATGTTGAGAAATGAATTCTAGAACTGGACAGTCCTCTTTCCAACCAGTCATGCCAATCCAAAATGCATTTTTATCAACCACCACCATCACTTTATTACAGTTATGATGGGCTTCTTCTTCGGAGGCCAGTAGTGAGTTTTCTTGAACAACATTCACTATTGAATGTGAGATGCTGCTTCTGTTTCAGGAGGTCACAACCTGTAAGGGATTCTGGCCTGCATGGTCAATATGTCTCCTGCCTCTGATTCGATTGCACCGTTTCTGTTTACAAGCATCTTAGGGGCTGCACTGCAGTGTAGCAGGTAGACTCACCCCTGAAATGCCAGCATCCCACGTGGGTGCTGGCTTGAGTTCAGACAGCTCTATTTCCAATCCAGCTCCCTGTTCGTGCACCTATGAAAGCAGCTAAAGATGGCTCAAGTACTTGGGGCCCTGCACCCATGGGTGAGACCCAGAAGAAGCTTCAGATTCCTTCTGGGTGGCTATTATGGCCACTTGGAGAATGAATCATCAGATGGAAGATCTCCTCTTATCCCTTTCTGAAACTCTTTTAAATAAATAAATAAATAAATCTTAAAACACATATATCGGGCCCAGCATGATAGCTTAGAAGCTAAAGCCTTCGCCTTGCATATGCCCAGGATCCCATATGGGCTGCCAGTCCTGGTCTGGGCAGCCCCGCTTCCTATCTAGCTCCCTGCTTGTGGCCTGGGAAGGCAGTCAGGGACAGCCCAGTGCCTTGGGACCCTGCAGGACCCTGCACCTGCATTGGAGACCCAGAGGAAGCTCCTGTCTCCTGGCTTCAGATTGTCTCAGCTCTAGCCATTGTAGTCTCTTGGGGAATGAGTCAGCAGATGGGGGAACTCACGGGAGGAATTAGTACTTTTTTTTTTAAAGACTTATTTATTTTTTATCACAAAGTCAGATATACAGAGAGGAGGAGAGATAGAGAGGAAGATCTTCCGTCCGATGATTCACTCCCCAAGTGAGCGCAACGGCCGATGCTATGCCAATCCGAAGCCAGGATCCAGGAACTTCTTTCTGGGTATCCCACACAGGTGCAGGGTCCCAAAGCTTTGGGCCGTCCTTGACTGCTTTCCCAGCCACAAGCAGGGAGCTGGACGAGAAGTGGAGCTGCCGGGATTAGAACTGGCACCCACTTGGAATCCCGGAGCGTTCAAGGCGAGGACCTTAACCGACATTTCATGGCTGGGCCCAGATTAGTACTTTCATAAATGATTCAAGTGAGAGGCAACCATTGTGGTATAGCAGGTAAAAGTACCACCTGCGATGTTGGCATCCAATACGGATGCTGGTTCTAGTCTGCTGGAATCCAGGGGGTTCCACTTCACTCTAACTCCCTGCCAATGGCCTGGGAAAGTCTGAGTATTTAGTCCGCTGCACCATGTGGAACACCCAGAAGAGGCTCCTGGCTTAAGACTGGCCCAGCTCCAACCATTGAGGCCATTTGGGGAGTGAACCAGCAGATGAAAGATCTCTTTCTCTCTCTCACGTTAAAATAAATAAATCTCTTTTGTAAAAATAATCAGGCCCAAGCAAGCCTGCTTAGTCCTTCTACCATGTGTGGACACAACAAGAAAGCATCATCTAAGAATCAGGAAATCTCACAAGATATCAAATCTGCCCTGATCAAACCAAGACATGAATACTGACTTACAGAAGCAAAGGACCACTATTTTAAGGAAAATAATCTAAATTTCTTAATAATCATGGGTATAAGTTGCATGTACCAGGACATTCATACCTCATTCTCTGACATCATTCCTGGAGTGAGCTGGGGGCTTGTCCCTAAGGAAATAACCAACACCTCCTCTGGCTGGATCTCCTGGATGGTTTCTTGAGATGATCCCTCGTGGTCCATATGTAGGTCCATTAGCATGTTAGTACGGCTTCTGCTCCGAGTAGCTGATAAAAAATTTGAAATAAAATAATTTAAAGAAAGAAAATTATAAAAATAACAAAGTAGAAAATGTTACTTTCCATTACTGCAGAATATTTGTACAAGCACAAAAACACAAACAAAGCAAAACCAGAAACATAATCCTCTCAGTAACTATTAATGACTAATGCAGACAACACAGATTTTCAAACAAGATCATTGGGGCCAACACTGTGGTGTATCAGGTAGACATGCCACCTGTGAGGCCCGCATCATACGGGCTGCTCCATGCCCAAGCCAGCTCCCTGCTAATGAGCCTGGGAAAGCACCAGCAGAAGTCCTTATTCCCTGGGCCCTGCATCCACATGAGAGCAGCAGAAGGCTCCTGGCTGCAGCCTGGCCCAGGTCTGGCCTTTGCACACATCTGAAGGGTGAACCAGCGGATGGAAGCTCCCTCTCCCTCTCTGTAAGCCTGCCTTTCAAATAAATAAATAATCTTATTTAAAAAAATACTGATAATCACCAAGACCCACATCTACTTGACAAAAGTGACACATGGATAAGGGTCACATGTGCAGGACAGCAAACACATCTCAAGCACCTCAAAATTAGGGTTATAAAACAGTATTATCTTAGTCCCCATTTTAAAATACCTTAACTTTTTCTTAGAAGATGCCTTCAGTGATACAGGCTTCCTACACATTCACTAGACAACTGTTGATAAAACCAGTAATGTTTTTCTGCTTTTTTTTTTTTAAAGAGATTGAATTATTTTTTTTAAAGATTTATCTTTTTAAAGATTTATTTTTTTAAAGATTTATTTTTATTATTTTTTTTATCGGAAAGGCAGATATACAGAGAGGAGAGACAGAGGAAGATCTTCCGTCCGATGATTCACTCCCTAAGTGACCTCTGCAGGGTCCCAAAGCTTTGGGCCGTAAGGCATAGTGACAAATAGGAAGAGAAGGAGGTAGAGGGAGGGATAGCCCTTCTACCCACTAGTTTACTCCGCAAATGCTTGCAGTGCCCAGCACTGGGCAAGGCTGAGGCCAAGAGCCAGGAACTCCGCCCAGGTCTCACACATGCGGAACAAGAACCCAACCACTTGGGCCCGCCATTATCCCAGGTTCACTAGCAGGAATTTGACTGGACGTAAAGTAACCAGGACTCAAACTGGCACTCTGATATGAGACGGGTATTCCAAGCCGCAGTTTAACTCACTGGGGCAAAATGCATATTCGGGGTCACTTTTAAAAATGCAATCCCCGGGCCCGGCGCGGTGGCGCAAGTGGTTGAGGGTCCTCGCCTTGCACGCCTGGGATCCCATGTGGGCGCCAGTTCTAATCCCGGCAGCCCCGTTTCCCTTCCAGCTCCCTGCCTGTGGCCTGGGAGGGCAGTCGAGGACGGCCCAAAACCTTGGGAACCTGCACCTGCGTGGGAGACCCGGAAGAGGCTCCTGGCTTCGGATCGGCCTGCTTTCCCAGGCCACAAGCAGAGAGCTAGAAGGGAAGTAGAGCCGCTAGGACATGAACCAGTGCCCATATGGAATCCCAGTGTGCAAGGCAAGGACTTTAGCCATAGGCTACCACACTGGGCCCCAGTTTCCCTAGTATCTTAAAGGAGATTTGGGGACAAGCACTATGGCAGAGTGGGTTAAACTGCCACTTGGGACACTGGAATCCTATTCTAGAGTGCCCATTTGAGCCCTAGTTACTCCATTTCTGATCCAGCTTCCTGGTAATGTGCTTAGGAATGCTGGCATATGGAACATGAGCCAGTTTCTGTAAGGCTCCCTCTCTACCTCTGTCACTCTGCCTTTCAATCATACAAATCTTAAAAAAACAATTTAAATAAATTAAATGAGGAGCTGGTACTGTGGTAGCTGGTAAGGTCACCCTACAGTGCTGGTATCACATATGGGTTCCAGTTCATGTTCAAGCTGCTCCACCTTCTTTTTTATTTGTTAATGACTCATGTAGCTCCCTGTTAGTAGCATGGGAAAGCAGTAGAAGATGACCCAAGTGTTTGGGCTCCTATCACCCACATGAGTGACCTAAAGCAAGTTCCAAGCACCTGGCTTCTGTCTGTTCAGCCTGGGCTACTACAGTCATCTGGGAAGTGAACCAACAGATGAAAGAAATACCTTTCTCTTTGCTCTCTCCCTGTGTTCTTCCCTCTCACTCTTTAACTCTCTCAAATAAATAAGTAAATCTTCAAAAATGAAAGAAAACACAAGATCCCAAGGCAGTACTGTGTGCCAGCAGGTGAAGCTCCCGTCTGAGATGCCCACATCTCACATCTAAGTGCCTGGCACTGGGCCCATCCTCACTTTCAATTCAGCTTCCTGCTAATGTGCATGCCGGGAGGCTCAGTGGATGCTCCCAGGCTTAGGTTGCTGCCATCACATGGGAGACCCACGTGGAGTCCTAGCCTCTGCTTTCAGCTTGTCTACAGGCTGTTGTGGCCATACGGGGAGTGACTAGTGAATCAAAGATCTCTCCTACCCTTTTCTCTATCCCTGCCTTTCAAATTAATATACTTTTTTTAATGAAGCTCTTTCTGTTTTGTGAATAAATTCTTCTTTAGTAAACAATTCATTTTTTCAAGTGTTTCCTGGGTCTAAACAAGTATTCAAGTGAATATATACATTTTTTTAAATAAAAGAATGCATCCTAAGACCAGTGCAGTGGCCTAGCGGCTAAAGTCCTTGCATTGAGCACACTGGGATCCCATATGGGCGCCAATTCTAATGCCAGTGACCCCACTTCCCATCCAGTTCTCTGCTTGTGGCCTGGGAAAGCAATCGAGAACAGACCAAAGCCTTGGGACCCTGCACCTATGAGGGAGACCCGGAAGAGCTCTTGGCTTTGGATCAGCACAGTTCTGGCCATTGCTGTCACTTGGGGAGTGAATCATCAGACAGAAGATCATCCTCTCTGTTTCTCCTTCTCTCTGTATAACTGACTTTGCAATAAAAATAAACAAATCTTAAACAAACAAACAAAAAATAACAAAATAAAATAATCCATCCTATAGGTGAGACCCAAGAATTTTGGGTCACTGAAAGATTCAGATAGCTTGTAACAATTTCTATATGAGTTTCAGTCTTTTGAGAAGTTTCCATTTTCTTACGAAAATACAAGTGTAAACAGAATACTGAACATAAATTCTATTGCAATGCAAAAATAATTTTAAAAAGCACCTACATGAAACAAAAATATTCTGTGTAGTTAAAATCTTTCAACTTTACTTTGAGAGAAAGCTGACCCCCTTGATGACAGAAAGAAGCAGAAATATAATCATCCTCTCTTTTGTAGATTTATTAATTTCTTTTGTCTAAAAATTCAGAAAGCATAACTTCTAAAAGTCTAAAACAGACCCATTCACATATTTATTAGCTGGCCCTATTATCTTTTGCTGATCTGTGAGCTAAAGCACAACTTCATAAACAGATCTATGGATATTAAGTAATAAACTTTATAACCTAAAAAATACGAGTAATCAAATTTCACATAGCAATCTACCTAAAGCAAAAGCAACATGCATATGGATCATACTTAAAGCAAACTGCTTCTTCAGTAAATGTTCTATAAGAACATCCCACTACCCACCAAATGGAGATGCTAGCGTGCTCTGAGCAGTAGGATTGGTGGTTGAGGAATCCCAAGCAGCAATGGCTGTTAAGTGCTGTCCTGGGTGGTTGAAGCATTAAAAAAAAAAAAAAAAAAAACCTAAGCCTCTGAACAACTGGCACATATTAAAAGGTAAGAAATATGGCCCTACACAATGGCTCAGTGGCTAAATCCTCCCCTTGCATCCACAGCAAGATCACATATGGGCGCCAGTTCTAGTCCTGTCAGCTCCACTTCCCATCCAGCTCCCTGCTTATGGCCTGGGAAAGCAGTCGAGGACGGCCCAAGGCCTTGGGACTCTGAGCCCGCCTTGGAGACTCAGAAGTTCCTGGATCCTGGCTTAGGATCAGCTCAGTTCCACTCATTGCAGCCACTTGGATTGAACCAGCAGAGAGATCTTTCTCTGTCTCTCCTTCTCTCTATAAATCTGATCTGCCCTTCCAGTAAAAATAAATAAATCTTTCTTTGAAAAACCATAGCAAATATGGACTGGCACGGTAGCCTAATGGCTAAAGTCCTTGCCTTGCACGTTCCAGGATCCCATATGGGCGATGGTTCTAATCCTGGCAGCCCCACTTTCCATGCTGCTCCTTGCTTGTGGCCTGGTAAAGCAATAAAGGACCGCCCCCCCCATTAGATCGGCTCAGCTCCACCCACTGCACCGCTTGGGGAATGAATTAGAGGATGGAAGATCTTTCTTCCTGTCTCTCTGTAAATCTGACTTTCCAATTAAAAAAAATGTTTAAAAATAATAATAAACAGTAGTTATCATTTTCTACTTTATTAATGAAATTATATTTACTATTTAGAACTTTATAAAAGGTTATATAATTCAAAAACTTATTACTTATAATAAATTACATTTTCTTTTCAACATTTTCCCGAAGAAAAGGATGTAAAAATTTAAAGTATACTATAGCTTTCATAATTTAAATTAATTTTGAAAAGTGTGTTGAGGTTAAAGCTAAAGTCTTATGATAAACTTTCACCTTCCTGGCATAATTTTAAATACTGAAATACCAATAGTAAACACTAAAAGACTTTTCTGAGTAATTAAAACAATAATCCAAAACACAGAACAACAGCAAATGCTAAAAAAGTATCACAGTTCAGGAAAAGCCCTGGTGAGAGATTCGCTTTACCTATCGGTAACCGGTTCTTCCTGTTGGCGGGAGTGGTTGCTGGCGACAGCTGAGCAGTGTTGTAGGGAGTCATTTCTAAACTGCTGCTTTTTCCCGGTTTGGCCTGGGGTAAATTTGCCAGTAAGTTGTCCAGAGCCATTCTATCTTCTCTCAGCTGGTCTCCAGACATCACACTCTTCATAAAATTCACCTGGCAAAATGAAAATCAAGTTTTCCTTTAGCTAGTGAAATCAATTTCAAGTGTCATTTATATTCCTTACACCACACTCTCAGAGAACTCTGCTCATGCTTAGTTAAAAGACACAGGAGAAATCTGCATTAATGAAGAAAAGCCATTACCAGAGTTAGAAGTTGACTGTAGGTGATGTACACCACAGTTCTGCTTAAGCCTTCCAGAAGGTTCACGGAGGACATCGGCGGTGTCTCCACTGCCCGGCCCCCGATCACGACATCCAGGAAAGCAGCAACACAGCCCTGTCAAGACGGGGAGGTCACAGTGAGACACCTCCCTCCAAGGCGGAGAGAAACGCAAAGGGCCAGACTTCTCAGGAATTATTCCAAGCCCAACATTTTAAAAAATAAACCTTTACTTGACATAGAAATATTGGCAAGATACACTCATAAGTAAAGCAATCATAACACGAAACATTACATATACTACGCTACCCCTTCTGAAGGGGCAGGATGGGGCGCGTGGGAAAAGATGCCAAGCTCTGCCCGCGTCCGTGTGACCTCTAGAGGACACGCAGGACTGCTGAGCCCAAGGAGGGAACAGAAGGCCAGACATGAGAGGCGGACTGGAGATCTCACCACAGAACCTTTGCATTTTAAGTCAAATTGAATATACAACTTACTTGAAGTGTGATTTATATTTAACTAAGCCAAATGAGCAACTTATAAAACATACTGAAAATTGTACAATTATCCTTGAGTCATTCCAATTTAATTTTTAGGAAACATTTTCAAATAAAGGAATCCTAGAACTTTCTCATCACAAAGCTACCTCCTCAATAATTCTCTACCAGTGAGTCGGTGATCTTTAATGACATCTTCCATCAAAACCTTATCCAATGTTGTAGCAAATTACAAGGAACACAAGTGCACTCCTCGCTGAAGGATGAGACCCGATAGCTGCATTCAATCAACTGTAAATGAGCTTCCCATGACACAGGGTCCAGGCTTACTTTGTCAAATTTACCAAGGCTGCTTTTTGTCCGGGGATCTCCCTCTTCGGAGCCAGTCATGGCTAACTGCTGCAACAGGCGGCCAACCTGCAAGCCAAAGCCAACAAAGACAACACTGGCTGTGCACTGCGGTACAACTCTCAAAACCCTCGCATAGGAACAGGCGCGCCAGACGAGAGCCCGTAAAATGTGCACATTACCTACATGTATTATACAGATCACTACTTTAACAGTTACAGAAACAAAGTAGAAAATACACCTCTCATTTTCCTAAAATATATTAAACATACTTATTGCTAATTTACTTTATATTAAATTTTTGTTTTTTTATTGTTCTCATATATATTTATACGTATTTTATATGTTTATTATTTTAAGCTGACTCACTTACAAAACTACTTTGAGTTAATATCAAGTACCTTCCTGGGGTAAGGATTTTGTAAATGATTACGATGGAGCTCGTGCGACCAGCACTATGACAGAGTACATTAAGTGCACTGCAGTGCTGGCATTTGATATCAAAGTGCCAAGTCAAGTCTTAGTTGCTTTTTTTCTTTTCAATTTATTTATGTATTGGAAAGTCAGATATACAGAGAGGAGGAGAGACAGAGAGGAAGATCTTCCGTCTGATGATTCACTCCCCAAGTGAGCGCAACGGCCGATGCTATGCCGGTCTGAAGCCAGGATCCAGGAACTTCTTCCAGGTCTCCCACACGGGTGCAGGGTCCCAAAGCTTTGGGCCGTCCTTGACTGCTTTCCCAGCCACAAGCAGGGAGCTGGACGAGAAGTGGAGCTGCCGGGATTAGAACCAGTGCCCATATGAGATCCAGGCGCGTTCAAGTCAAGGACTTTAGCCACTAGGCCACGCTGCCAGGCCCTGCTCTGCTTTTGATTCAGCTCCCTGCTAACATGCCTGGAAAAGTACCCACTGTAGAAGACCCAACTAGAGCTGCTGACACTGGCTTGGCCCAGACCTGGCTGCTGCAGCCATCTGAAGAATGAACCAGTGAATGGAAGGTCTCTCTCTCTGCGTCTCCTTTTCACTACACTGCCTTGCTTTTAAAATAAAACCTTAAAAAATAAAAGACCGCCACCTGCTTTCCAAATCAGAAATGCCTATGTTGGACCCCCAGCTTCCCATCAATTCCAGTCCCAGGGCCCTGCTAGCGTGCAGCCTGGAAGGAAGGGGGCGGCTCAGCACCTGGGTCCCTGCTACCCGTGCAAGACTCGTGCCCTCAGCCTGGCTCACACCGTGCTGCTGCAGACACACAGGGAGCAAACTGACAGACAGGAGATCTCTGTCTACAGCTCTCTCTGCCCTTCAAATAACAATTACTAAAATTCATTTTTTAAGGTACTTTTCTCTTTAGGTTTAACAAGCACTCTTTTTCCCCTTAGATTTAAAAGCAAACAATTCCTATAGGACATATTCACGGAACAGATTTCACACAGCCAGCAGTGAAGTGTGAAGCCACTGCCTGCGGGCCTCACGTCAACGTCAGCACTGGAGCAGCATCAGTTCAGCATCTAGGACCAACTCCCCTTTTTAATCATCTTGAAAATAAATGATTCAATCTCTAACATGAAAATTTAAAGAAAATCGATAATGAAAAAAAGCTTACTACTTAAGAGAACTCATTCAGAAATAATTTATTCTAAATAAACCTAATTGCTTCACTACAGATTTTTTTTGGAAGATTTATTCATTTTTATTGGAAAGTCACATCTACTTAGAGAAGGAGAGACAAAAAGATCTTCCATCTGCTGCTGCTTCACTGCCCCAATTGGCCATAATGGTCAGAGCTGAGCTGATCAGAAGCCAGGAGCCAGGAGCCAGGAGCCAGGACCTTCTTCTGGGTCTCCTACGCAGGTACAGAGTTCCAAGGCTTTGGGCCGTCCTTGACTGCGTCCCCAGGCCACAAGCAGGGAGCTGGATGCGCACTGGAGCAGCCAGGATATGGGGGATTTTGTGTGTACAAGGCGAGGATTTAGCTCCTGAGCCATTGCATGGTGCCTTTCACTATAGATTTTACTCTGAGGGATATGATTTTTAAATTCCCCAAAGAAAAAAATTATGTAATTTCAGGAGTTCAGACAATTAAGAAAATGTACAAAATCCTCTTTCTCAAACTCTTAGTTCTAAGAGAGTTTCAGAATTCCAGGACTTTAGAAACCTAATTTAGTACATTATCTGAGACAACATAGCCAATATGTAAGCATGCAACAAAAACATGCTTAGTCACTAAAACTAAATAACAATTAGTTATAACCTATTTGTTCAGCTCAGGCTTTACTACAAAGGGAAATATAAAAAAAAGTCATCTTATTTTGCATTTTGAAAAAGCAGGATGGTTGATTCATTTAGAAAATCTAATCAACTATACAAATTAAAGTGTGAAAAATTCCATGTAAAAACAAAATGTTGGGCCCAGTGGCGTGGCCTAGCGGCTAAAGTCCTCGCCTTGAACGCACCAGGATCCCATATGGGTGCCAGTTCTAATCCTGGCAGCTCCACTTCCCATCCAGCTCCCTGCTTGTGGCCTGGGAAAGCAATCGAGGACAGTCCAAAGCTTTGGGACCCTGCACCCACATGGGGGACCTGGAAGAGGCTCCTGGCTTCAGATTGGCTCAGCTCTGGCTGTTGTGCTCACTTGCGGAGTGAACCATCAGACAGAAGATATTCCTTTCTCTCTTCTCTCTATATATCTGCCTTTCCAATAAAAATAAATAAATCTTTAAAAAGTTTTATGACTACAGTATTTTGAAACTGTAATATGATTGCTTTTTTTAAGTCAGAATAACACAAATATTTAGGAGAGTTTGAAGAAAACAGTGATAAGGAGTTGGCACAGTAAGCTTATCTTCCACCCTGTGGCCCCAGCGTCCCATGAGGACACCAGTTCATTTCCTGGCTGCTCCCCTTCTGATCCAGCTCTCCGCTTATGGTCTGGGAGAGCAACATAGTATGGTCCAAGGCCTCGGGATCCTGCACCCATAAGGGAGACGCGAAAGAGGCTCTGGGTTCCCAGATGTGGCCATTGCAGCCACCTGAGAAGTGAGCCAGTAGATGGAAGGCCTTCTCTTGTTCTCTCTGTAAAAACCTGCCTTTCAAATAAGTAAATCTTAAAAAAAAAAAAAAAAAAAAAACCACTCACGAAGTGCTGTCATCATACTTTCATAGTGTCAACCACCCTTATCCACCCTTAGCACTAATCCCTCGAGCAGCCCCAGCATACCTGCATCAGATTGAAGCGTGCCACCTCATTGATGGGAGCGTCAGAAATGATGCCGTACTGCTCGGGGTTGACAACAGCAGGGCAAATGAAGCAAGCCAGCAGGAGGTCAGTGCACATGGCCCTGACCTCCCCTACTTCCAACCTATCCACACAGGACAGCGTTTTGTACATCTGGGACACGATCCACCTCAGACTGTGGGGAAAGCAGTACGTGTTCTGTTTGAGATAACCAATAAACTTGTTCACCAAAGCCACCAGCTTGGCCTCATTAGAATCCACCATCTCCTGAACCTTCTGCCTGAATCTATCTGAGCCTTTCTCCCCAAAGAGTTTCTCCTGCTGGGATGGAGAGAACCTCTCAATTAGCTTGTTGGGGTCAGTCTCCAAGTGATCCTCATCTTCAACAAGCAGCTGCATGATTGGCTCGTGTAGAGTAGCTGTGAGGAAAAGTTTGGCAGAAAAGAGTCCTTCAGAAAAAAGTTTAAATAAGATGCTGAAGGCACAAGTTCCTCTTCTCAGAAGGCGTCTGGGGTTGTCACTTTCTTTAAGTTCAAATTCAATCAAGTATCGCAAAACCTGAAGGAGGTAGCTTTCATCTTCCTGCATAATGCAGTTGCCGTACAGGGAGGTAAATACGGTGTAAATGACACTCTGTGTGTTCTCCTGGTTAAGTTTCTCTCCAGCAACCAACGATGAGGCAATCAGACGAGGATTTTCCCTTAAGCGGCTCAAGAACTCTCCATAAGCAGTTTCCTGAAATCCCAACTGCTTGTATCCATCAACAAACTGTGTGTCTTCCAAAATCTTGGCATGTTGGCAACACTCAGCAGGGGAGGCTTCAGCACTAAAAATTAAAAAATATTTTTTTCAAAGAAAGAGCCAATATATACATAACACTATCAATAGCAATATCACAAAGTATACAGGAAATATGGATTAATTACAGATATAGTAATGAGATCACTTTGAATTGCTAAAATATTTTAGATCAGCACCAGGATCCCACATGGGTGCCAGCTCGTATCCTGGCGGCTCCAATTCCCATCCAGCTCCTTGCTTGTGGTCTGGGAAAGCAGCTGAGGACGGCTCAAAGCCTTGGGACCCTGCACCCGTTGGAAGACCAGGACGAAGCTCCTGGCTTCAGACTGGCCCAGCTCTGGCTGTTGTGGCCACTTGGGGAGTGAACCAGTGAATGAAAAATCATTCTGTGTTTGCTCTCTGTAAATCTGACTTTCCAATAAAAAAATAAGTAAATCGTTAAAATATATGTATTTTAGATCAACAGCAACTGTATGAGACAAACCTAGAAATGCAAAGGAATGAGGTTGTATTCCATCAGGTTAGGTACCTCTGTGATGCAATACTGGCATCCCTTAGCCCACTGTCAGTTCCAGCTTCCTGCTAATACGCCTGGAAAGGCAGGAGGAGCTCCTCTAACGTGGGTGCCTGACACTGATGAGGGAGAAGAGGATGGAGTTTCTGGTTCCTGGCTCAGACCTGGCTACTGGGAAGTAAACCAGCAGATATAAAAAACTTAACTTGACTCTCTCTCCATTGCTCTCAAACGCTCCCTGTTTCTCTATTACTCAGTCTTTCAACTAAACCCAAAAAACAAACCAGGGCCCAGCACCATGGCCTAGAGGCTAAAGTCCTCGCCCTGAATGCACCGGGATTCCATATGGACACCGATTCTAATCCCAGTAGCTCCTCTTCCCATCCAGCTCCCTGCTTGTGGCCTGGGAAAGCAGTTGAGGATGGCCCAAAGCCTTGAGACCCTGCACCTGACTGGGAGATGCTGAAAGAAGTTCCTGGCTCCTGGTTTAGGATTGGTGCAGCACCAGCCATTGCGCTCACTTGGGGAGTAAATCATCGGACGGAAGATCTCCCTCTGTCTCTCCTACTCTATGTATATCTGACTTTACAATAAAAAAAATATATAAATCTTTAAAAAAAAAAACCCAAAACCTAATTGGTAGGGTATAAAATGTTAATGCCTAAGTTACACATTTCTGTAATAATGTTTACATTAATAAACAAAATAAACTCTGTATTCCAAAGATTCAATTTTATTAATTTAAACTATCCTAACTCACTATATGCCACTGTCCTATACACTAGACACACCTAAACTGAGCAATAAATATACCACTCACAGTAACTCTGAAACAAATGTCATGAAATGGCCACAGAGCTGAGAGCTTGAGCCTAACCATTTAAGCTATGCACTTTGTTTGAATCACACTCATTCACAGCAATGCACAAAATTTACCTGGTTATGATAAGTCGATCCAAATTAATTCTCTGTTGCTTTGCAATCCATGCTGTCCGATACAACCTCTCTGCTGTTTTGAGAACATCCGCATTGAGCCTCTGGATGAGCTGTTTTTCAGAGTTTACATACAAACGCTCCTGCTTGAGGTGATGGGCCAGTGTGTGAATATCTAGCTTCACCATCTTCAAATGCCGAAAAGGAACAGCGATGGCTAATCACTACAAGGAAGAAAACACATTTTAAGAGTTTACATCATTTAAATTCTTTTTTTTTTTAAGATTTCTTTTATTTTCATTGGAAAGTCAGATATACAGATAGGAGAGACAGAGAGGAAGATCTTCCATTTGATGGTTCACTCCCCAAGCAGCTGCAACGGCTGGAGCTGAGCCAATCTGAAGCCAGGAGCTCCTCCAGGTCTCCTACGCGGGTGCGGGGTCCCAAAGCTCTGGGCCGTCCTCGACTGCTTTCCCAGGCCACAAGCAGGGAGCAGGATGCCAGGATTAGAACCAGCGAGCATATGGGATCCCAGCGCGTTCAAGGCTAGGACTTTAGCCGCTAGGCCACCGTGCTGGGCCCACATCATTTAAATTCTTTTCAAAAACCAAAAGGAGACAACACAGAAAAAATTAATATAGTGACATTGCTAGCTCTAATTTTAAAATAATTCATGAATTTATTTTATTGCAGAAATATTACACAGCCCATGTAGACAACCAGGTAAATAAAGATAAGCAAAGAGAAGAAAAATGTTGCCAATAAGGCCACCGGTCTGAGAGCCACTGTAAGCACTTCATGCCCAGTGTCCATTCAGTAACCCTGGGATTATCGCTGACTATACGCATACTCGCTTATAACACAGGCAACGGCCTTTTGATTCTACCTTCAAAATACATCTCAACTCTGACTATTCTGCCCTTCCATCACTAGCCCACCAGCATCACTGGTATCCATCATGCCCCAATCATCTCCCTGCTTTGTTCCTGTGTCTGATCTTCTCACATCATGGAGCAAACCTTAAACTCTAAGTCAGGTGACTTCATTCTCCCACTGGGAAAGCCCAAAGCTTTATTTCACACCCAGATGAAGTGGGCGGGTCCCACACCATCTACCCTGGCTACTTCTCAACTCCACATCCCAGCATTCTTCTGTGGTTCACACGGCTCCTGACACAGCTGCCTCCTAGCAGTTGCTTGAGCAGGCCAAGCACGCCTGCCTGTAGTCCACACTTGTTGAGACCCCAGCAAGGTTTCTCTGCATTCAGGTCTCTGCTGAATGGCTGTTCTCAAACAGAAAATATAGCTTCCTTGTCCCTCGTCTGCTCTGTTAAGGAAGTTTGCCCTTATCTAGCACACTGCGAGCACTTCAGGGAGGAGGCAGTTGAGCCTAGTGACCCAGACAGCCTCAAGCCACATCACGGTGCAGCGTGCGAGTCCTGGCTGCAGCCGGACTCCAGCTTCCCGCCACCGTGGTCGTCAGCAGCGCTCATCCATTCTCAGGGACACCTGGCTCCTGGCTTCACTGACCCCTGCCTGCTACAGGCACTCAGGGAGCAGACCAAAGGCTGCCAGCTCCATCTGCCTCTCTCCTTTCTCAGATAAATAAATACAGTGAAACTTTTTAAGTCTGTGGAAAACAGAATAAATTCTTTTTTTTTAAAGGTTTATTTATTTTTATTACAAAGTCAGATACACAGAGCGGAGGAGAGACAGAGAAAGATCTTCTGTCCAATTACTCACTCCCCAAGTGAGCGCAACGGCCAGTGCTGCGCTGAACTGAAGCCGGGAACCAGAAACCTCTTCTGGGTATCCCACACGGGTGCAGGGTCCCAAAGCATTGGGCCGTCCTCAACTGCTGTCCCAGCAGGTTCCCAAGGCTTTGGGCCGTCCTCGACTGCTTTCCCAGGCCACAAGCAGGGAGCTGGATGGGAAGAGGAGCTGCCAGGATTAGAATTGGTACCCATATGGGATCCTGGCGCATTCAAGGCGAGGACTTTAGCCGCTAGGCCATGCTGCCAGGCCCAACAGAATAAATTCTTAACTGTGTAAACAATACTAAAAAGAAAATTAAAAAAAGAAAATGGAATAATTTTTTAATCAACTTTCTATCAACTTTTTGAAGATTCTTTCATAAATATACATTTGAAACTTTTGTGCCAAAATTACTAATTTTTTTTTTAAAGATTTATTTTTATTATTTTTTCATTGGAAAGGCGGATATACAGAGAGGAGAGACAGAGAGGAAGATCTTCCGTCCGATGATTCACTCCCCAAGTGAGCGCAACGGGCTGATACTATGCTGATCCGAAGCCAGGAGCCTCTTCCGGGTCTCCCACGTGGGTGCAGGTTCCCAAGGCCCTGGGCCGTCCTCGACTGCTTTCCCAGGCCACAGGCAGGGAGCTGGAAGGGAAGCGGGGCTGCCGGGATTAGAACCGGCGCCCATATGGAATCCCGGGCGTGCAAGGCGAGGACCTTTTACCCACTTGTGCCACCGCGCCCGGCCCCAAAATTACTAATTTTTAAAGATTTATTTATCTGAAAGGCAAAGTTGAAGAGAAGGAAGAAGGAAGGGAGAGACAGAGAGAGATCGGTCTGCCATCCACTTGTTCATTTTTCAAACGGCTGCAATGGCTAGGGCAAAGCCAAAGCCAGGACTGTCAGACTCCACCCAGCTCCCACTTGGGCCAGCATTTGCACAGTCCAGGCAGGAAGCTGGACGGGAAGTGAAGTAGGTGGGACTTGAACTGGTGCTCACAGGGGATGCCAGCTTGGCAAGCTGTGGTTTGACCTACCCCACGCCACACTTTGACTACTAAAACTATCTTTTATTTCCATTTTTCTATTTTTTAAAGATCTATTTATTTTAGTTGGAAACGCAGATTTACAGAAAGAGAGAAACAGAAAGATCTTCCATCTGTGGGTTCACTACCAAATGGCTACAACAGTCAGAGCTGAGTCTATCCGAAGCCAGGAGCAAGGAGCCTCTTCCTGGTCTCCCACATGGGTGCAGGGTTCCACGTCCTTGGGCCATTGTCTAATGCACTCCCAGGAACCTTAGCAGGGAGCTGGATGGGAAGTGGGGCAGCCAGGACACAAGGAAAACATGTGTTAGTTACATACATGCATATGTATCATAATTTATGGCATTTCCCCAGAAAGGAGTAAATGCCACCAGGGCCAAGGCTTTTCAGCTTTGTTCATGCAACTGCATTTTAGGGCCCGGAGAAGGCCTGGTTCACACAAGACCTGAATGAGCGTTTGCCAAAAGAAATAAGGGAAATTTTTTTAAAGTATTGATTATCTAGTATCTAAACAGACACAGAAAGCACACAGAGTTTAAAATATTACTCAAGTTATGTCCTCAAAACCTAGACAGCCTGCCAGACCACAATGTTTTATGTCAACAAAAACACACGTGACACAGATTACAGAACATAATGCTGTATGTCTTGATAGTCAGTAAATTACAAATAGATATTTCATTAAAAATTTAAACACTGGGCCCGGTGGCGGCACTGTGGCCTAGCAGCTAGTGCCCTCGCCTTAAACGCGCCAGGATCCCATATGGCCGCCGGTTCTAATCCCGGCAGCTCCTCTTCCCTTCCAGCTCCCTGCTTGTGGCCTGGGAAAGCAGTCAAGGACGACCCAAAGCCTTGGGACCCTGCACCTGTGTGGGAGACCGGGAAGAGGTTCCTGGTTCCCAGCTTCGGATCAGCGCAGCACCAGCCATTGCGCTCACTTGGGGAGTGAGTCATCGGATAGAAGATCTTCCTCTCTGTCTCTCCTCCTCTCTGTATGTCTGACTTTCCAATAAAAATAAATAAATCTTAAAAAAAAGAAATGGTTTTATCAATTTCAATTTCTTATTTCAAGTTTCTGAGTTCTCTTTATTTTATGGATTACTAATGAATAGAAATTTTCCAGATATTACCATCTAACCTGACTTCAATTAGTTTCAAAAATCACTTTTTTGTTACTTATCAATTCCTCTGAGAACTGCACAAAGCTGTTTAGTCTCAAGATCCTGCAATTGGGCCCCTCAATTTGCTTTCAGCTAAAAAGTTAAAATGAAAACTTACAAAGTTACCAATATTTCTCCTTCACAAGTTGATTTTCTACTGAATTGATCACAAAAGGATCTGTAAACATTCAAAACTTGTATAATTGGACCAATTTCCTTACTAACTAAAAGTCTACAGGGAACACAAGGATGACTTTGCATTTCCACCGGGGAACGCCGCTGTCCACTAGGGGGCTCTAGTTCACAGGCTAAGAGTGGAATCACCGCCCGAGTCGCCTGATTAGGAGCACCGTAACCCTGAAGGAAAACTGACCTGAAATGGGTTCTTAAAAGCTCATGTGCCTCATCAGCCAGTTCTGTTGCGCTGAGCTTATCATTTCCTCTGAACCTCTTGCGGATTTTTTAACCCATAAAATGTGGACAAAGCATGTGAATTATTTTGTGCCTTATAAAAGCACCAGGATTATTTAAAAAAAAAAAAAAAGAACAAAACCTAGTGCGTACACTTATCTTTTTTTAAGATTTATTTATTTTTGGGTCTGGCGAGGTAGCCTAGTGTCTAAAGTCCTTGCCTTGCACACACCAGGATCCCATATGAGTATCAGTTCGTGTTCCAGCAGCCCCGCGTCCCATCCAGCTCTCTGCTGTGGCCTGAGAAAGCAGTCTAAGATGGCCCAATGTCTTGGGACCCTGCACCCAAGTGAGAGACCTGGAGAAGCTCCAGGTTCCTGGCTTCGGAATGCCTCAGCTCCAGCCATCGCAGCCGCTTGGGGAATGAACCAGCAGACAGATCTTTCTGTCTCTCCTCTCTGTAAATCTGGCTTTATAACAAAAATAAATAAATCTTAACCAAAAAACTGTACACTTGGAGACCAGTATGGCAGCATGGTAGAGAAAGCAATACTGCAACACCGGCATCCCATACGGGCACAAGGATCAGTCCCAGCTGTTCAACCTCCAATCTAGGTGCAAGACCCTGACAAAGCTCTAAGTTCCTGGCATCAGCTTGGACCAGTTTTGGCCATTGGATCCACATGGGGAACGAGCTAGCAGGTAGACAATCTCTCTGTTTCTCCCTCTCTGTAGCCATACCTTTCAAGAAATATATAAATATTAACAACAACAACAAAAAAAAAGGCAGGGCTGACATGGCCACAGCAGGCTTAATCCTCCCCCTTGGATGCAGGAATCCGACACGGAC